AAATAGGGGGTTCCATTTGAAATAAGCAACTTTTTGAGGTTTAAAAACATGCAAGTTTAGAGGCTAATTGCGCGGTTTAGAAGTATTTCCTTATATCGCTGAAAACTGTTTTTCAAAATTCGCAGCGGGTAGTGTACAGCATCGATTTCTGTGGAACCCAGTAGCTGTCAAAACTTTCACATTTTTACGAATAACTCGGAAATCGTAAATTTTTCAGGTAAAACGTTTGACACAAACTTAACTTAAATTTTGACGACAAATCTGAAAATGAATGAAAAAAGGGGCGGTTCCATTTAAAAAACTAAAGTTGGTAACTACCACACGTTTATGATACACCCCGTATATTGGAAAGTAATTTTAAAATGTGGACCTTTTAAACATGAAAAACTTTCGTAGGACGTATTTTCTTGTAAAGTTCATATTTACTGAGATATCGCACTTTGGCGCACTAATGAGCAACCCTGTATAATTTTCAAGCCAAGATTTGAAAGTTTCTCAAAAATTCCTTTTTCGGTATTAGTTGAATTTCGGTGGATTGAAAGGTAAATAATAAAAAAAAACACTTGAAAATTTAGAAGCTATTTTATTTATTTGTTTGCGGGTTAATATATACAGGGTGATTTGCAATCTTATGGTCACAGAGCAGGGGCGTGTAGAGGACCTCAAAACAAGTCGAGTTTTTATTTAAGTTTTTTTCTTAGACCCATGGTTAACGAGATACAGGGTTTTAAAGTTTCAAAAAAATGTTTGTATTTTCTCTTTAACTCCTACAGTTTTTGAGATATTTTGTTCAAATTTTTAACGTAGGCTAATTTTTAGACCCTTTTTTTATCCGTAGGTAGGCCAACTGGTTGTAAAAATCTACAGGGTGTCCTTTTTTATAGAGGCCTACCATCTTTTACCCCCCGAACTTTTTTGTGGTAAGCCACTGACTTCTACTGAACAAATCTTTGAATTTGTCGTTCAATTTAAGAATTTTCTGATCTCTTGGAGTTTTTTCATATCTGTCTTCGTTTTTGAGTTATCTGGACAAATATAAGTCCTGTAGGGTTCCTGGAAGATTTTGCACGCATTTTCTTATAATTTTCTTCGTCCTTTTGTTCACATTTTTTCTGTGAAAGAAATGAATTTCATAATAAATTAGAATATTCGTTACATTTTTGTGTATTTTTATTTGGTTTGGCTTACATCCGATAAGCCTTAATTATTGTAAATTAAATTAAAGTAAAAAAAATAAATTTTAAAGTTAACTCGTCAGCCATCCCTATTTTAACTACTTCAACTTGCACTTCACAAAAAAAATTGAACAAACAGCCACAAAACAATTTATAAAAAAATTCGTAGAAAATCATCCAGAAACCCTACATGGACTTATGTTTTGTGCAAATTACTGGAAAACGAAGGCAGATACGAAAGAACTGCAAGAGATAAATAAATTCTTAAATTGAACAGATAATTCAAAAAATTGTTGGGTCGAAGTCAGTGGCGCATCACAAAAGAGTTGAGGGGATAAAAAGGGATATGCCTCTAGAAAAAAGAACACCCTGTAGATTTTCACAACCGGTTGGCTTACCTACGGGCAAAGGGTCTAAACATTAGCCTACGTTAAAACTTTGAACAAAATATCTCATAAACTGTAGGAGTTCAAGAAAAAATACCAACATTTTTTTGAAATGTTAACGCCCTGTATCTTGTTAACCATGGGCCTGAGGAAAAAAACTAAAATGAAAACTCCACTTGTTTTAAGGTCCTCTACTCGCCCTTGCTCTGTGTCCATAAGGTTGTAAATCACCCTGTATATATTTTTAATAGGGGGCAGTTCCTAATGGTATTCATGCTACTACGATTTGAATAAAGCCTTCTTAATAGAATTTCAAGCTTTTAGAATTGACTCGGATTCTGTCAATTTAAAGCCTGATGTTCCTAAAGTTCGCTGTAAAATTTTGAAGTTTGTCCTCCTCTTTGTTTGAGATCTACGATGTTTTTCTTTAGAGCGATGCAGTTGACAACTGTATAATTTTCAAGCTAAAGTTTGGAAATTTCTGAAAAATTCCTTTTTGCATGGAATTAATTAAGTTTCCGTCGCGTAATAGTTCTATCATTTGAAAAAATACTCGAAAATGTATAAGTGTTTTTTCATATTCGTATAAGCGCTGTAATTTTTTTTATGTGATGCAGTTTTTTATGGTCGCACTTTCCAGCTAAAGTTTAGGGAATTCTGAAAATATTTTGTGCATTTCCAGTTCATTGAATTTCCACCAATATATAGCTTAATTTATGAAGAATATACAGTGAAAATTTTAGGTTGGTGCGTTTACGCATTTAAAAGCTACATTTTTTATGGGTGCGGAACTCAATGGCAATAAATTAAAGTTAAAATTTGGCTGTTTCTCGAGAATGATTTAGCTTCGGACACATTTTATTTAGCTGTTTCCAGAATTGTTTCTTTTGACTTTTTCGAGAGAGCTAATTGAAGGTTTATCAAAAATCTTAATGTACTTGAAAATAATTGAATTTTAGCTAATTTATAGCTTGCGGTTGCTTGAAATTGTTGCAAATTTCGTTGATTGAAAGCAGCAGCTTTAAAAAAATGCGCTGGAAACTTGCTTATTTATAATGAATGATTTTTCTGCGGAAAGAGATCAAGAACGTATTGTAGGCATGATGATATTTTTATTTATTATGATTGTTTTTAACATCCAGGCACTCTAACTGCTCGAGGAAATCCGAACCGAATAAAAGCGGTCTACATGGAACTGTACGGCACTGTTCAGTTCGGGATACATCAGAAATTGATCTCAGATCGAGACGCTGAAGGCACGATTGTTCTGCTGAGTCCTCTCGATTATGAAACGAAGACTGTCCACCATCTAACCATATTGGCCAACGTAATAAAACCGAATTTCGAACGACAGGAAAGTTTAATAGAATCCTCCACAGGACCCCTGGACGAATATGAAGGAAGACACCAGAAACATCGCAGGATGGCCTTTACTAGTGGCTGTAATAGACGAGCAGGACACGCCCCCAATTTTCACCATAGCCCCGCCCACTACTACTTTAAGCCCCACTTTGAAGACCGGGGATGTAATCCTCAGGTACTTGCAAAAATTGTTGCCTGGAATCCGAATATAATGCCCAATTTTTAACATTTTCAGGGTTCATGCAGAAGATGGGGACAGAGGCCAGCCGCGTCCAATTCGCTACTCGTTGGATCCGGATGATCCAGCCAGTGCGCTGTTCCACATTTCCGACAAAACAGGTAAAGGTTCTGCTGTTTAAGCCGTTTGAACAGTTGAGGAATGCCGTGTCATGTCGGCCGATTTGTTTTCCGCTCTTAATTCCGGCTGAAACTTCGGGTTTCAAGTTGATGTCTGGCAAACACCGCAATCAGCGCTGAAGTTTTAAATGCCCGAAAGCACGAACTCGTGCTTCTAGATAATGAGTTGCCACTTTTTGGCCCTCAAACCTATACGAGGTTCAGCGAGTAGGAAACCGGCCTTTTGAGACTGGAAAATTGGGTTTGGAGACGCCTGCTCTAAAGCAGCAGTTGCGTTAGAAAAATTGCCAGATGTGCTCAAAGAAAGCAACAATTAAGAGGATCCTATTAAACAATGCAAAGAAGCCCTAAACTCAATTATCAATTGTTACTTGGTCGCTCTGTATAGACTGCAACGAATTTGGCAAGATAAGACGCCTTGAAAAATATGCAGCACTTTCCATTTAAATAATAAATGCAAGACCGGAAGCTGTGCCAGCTTATCGGGCACGAAGCTGTCCGTCTGGGTCGATGCCAAGAGCTGATTTTCCCATTTTACCAGCAAATTAGCCAAAGAACGGTAATAAAGGAGCCATTTGCTGTAGGTCAGCATCAAGAATAGCTGCTGAACAGCCTTCTGGGAAACCAGAATCGATTTTTGCTGGAAATGTCGGCCAACCGTGCGAACCGGAAAAATTTTAATGAATCTAATCGAGAGCCGTATTAATTCGGTGGCGGCAAAAGCACGCATAACTTTCCATTTTAAAATGCCCCATTTTCATAACCCGCACGCGAACTATTCCAGGCAAAGCACTTTGGTCTTGCAATTAAAACTTTCTTTGTTTGCCGAGAGAAAATGCTGTTTAAGGCTTTGCGTGGATTTGTTGCAGGCGAACTCACTCTTGCTCTTCCGGTTGCTCAGGTGCTCACTTTTCCCACCCAAGGCCAACCAATTCTGCTCACGGTAACTGCCGAAGAAGTCCGAGTTAACTCGCAGGAGCCACCTTCTCAGTCCACTACCATTCAACTGGCTTTAATACCACCTGGTAAGTTATAAAAAATATTTTGGTGGGTTTAACACCAGGGTGTTTCCAGGCAGGTTTTCAGGTTTCTTGAAGCCCTTAAGAGATTTTTCTTTTTCTTGTCCCGGATTGGTCTAAAGACAAATTTTGAGGGGTTTTTCATAAGGTCTGCAGGCAGGTGATTTCCATGTTTCTGTCATATTTAAGATTCACGCCTCGTTGCCTGATCCTCTACGAGGCTTCTTCTGTTGGGCTAAAAGGAGGTCGTTTCAAGGCAGATTGCAGGTTTTCTCGACCGTTCTAAAGCTTTCTTTATTTTTATCCATAGTGGAAATGTCTCGTTTAGGTCTAAAGGAAAGTTTTTTGTTTCTTTCAGCTCTTAATTTCTCTCTTCCTTCTTTGTTTGCCGTAGGTATCTTTAGGTGTACGGCATTTCGTTTTCGCTATTTTCAGGTTTCTCCAACCGTTTAAAATCTTTCTTTTTTTATCCTTGGTTAAGGTTTTTTGATTAGGTCTGAGTGAAGGTGAATTCAATGTTTATCCATTTCTCCAATTCATTCTTCTCTCGCCGTCTCCCATGTTTTTTCCTTAGCTCTAAAGACAGGTTGTTTCCAGACAGGTTTCTAGATTGGTTCAACTGTTCAAGAACCTTCTTCTGTTTTCATCCTTATATGAGGTTTAATTAATAGTTTAATTTATCTCTTTTGTCTTAATTTTCCATATTAACTTTTTATTAAAGGAAGGTCGTTTCCAGGCAGGATTCCAGGCTTATTCGAACGAAAACTTCCTCTCCTCTTTATCGTTAAGGGTTTTTTTATTAGATCTCAGAGCAAGTGCTTCTTACGTTTCTTCCTCCTTTTAATTTTTCTCTTAGTTTTTTGTTTCTCATATTATTTTACTTACTTCTTTTGGTCTGTTTTCAGGCAGATTTCCAAGTTTCTTCCATCCTTCAAGACTTTTCTTCCTTTTTACTTCTCCATGCGGTAAAAAAAAAGTTTTATCTCTCCCTCTAAATCAGAAGAGGAAAAAATTGCGGTTTTTCCACGTTAGACTAATGAAGAAGCTGCTGAAGCTTTCGAAACTTCCAAAGCTCCAAAATTTGCTGGACTAAAAGGAAAATTCTCATATGCTCTGATTTAAGTTAAGTCCTTTCTGTGACCAAAAAAATCGCTTTTTGAGAGCTTTGAAAGCTTTCATCTAAGAAATCAAAATAATCATTGTTTTTCTTTAGGTTGAAAAGCAAGCAATTTCCATGCTTCTTCAGCTTTTTAAATTCTCGATTTCTTCTCTGGACCCTATATTTATCCTTTAGGTTTTTCCTAACAGGTTTCCAGGTTTTCAGGTTTTTTCAAACGCTCAAGAGATTTTTCTTTTTTTGTCCCGGCAAGGTTTCCTTTTAGGCCTTAAGACAGATTTCTTGGGGTTTTTCACTAGGTCTACAGGCAGGTGATTTCTATGTTTCTGCCATATTAAAGATTCACGCCTTTTTCCCTGATCAGCTACGAGGTTTCTTCTTTTGATCTAAAAGGAGGTCGTTTCAAGGCAGGTTTGCAGGTTTTCTCGACCGTTCAAAAACTTTCCTCATTTTTATCCTTCGTAAAAATGTTTCCTTTAGATATAAAGAAAAGTTTTTTTGTTTCTTTCAGCTCTTAATTTCTCTCTTCCTTCTTTGTTTGCCACATTATATCTTTAGGTGTAAAGGCAGGTAGTTTTCGCAGATTTTCAGGTTTCTTCAACCGTTCAAAAGCTTTCTTTTTGTATAGTTCGTTAAGGTTTTTTTATTAGGTCTGAGTGAAGGTGAATTCGATGTTTATCCATTTTCCAAATTCGTTCTTCTCTCGCTGTCTCTCATATTTTTTCCTTAGGTCTAAGAACAAGTAGTTGTTTCCAGACAGGTTTCTAAATTGGTTCAACTGTTCAAGAACTTTCTTCGGTTTTCATCCTTCGTGGCGGTTTAATTAATAGTTTAGTTTATCTGTTCCGTCTTGGTTTTCCATATTATTACTTTAGGTTAAAGAAAGGTCGTTTCCAGGCAGGTTTCCAGGCTTTTTGAACCGAAAAGCTTTCTCTCCTTTTTATCGTTAAGGTTTTTTTTATTAGATGTTTCCTCCACCTTTCCGTTTCTCTCTTCCTTCAATGGTCCCCATTTTATTTCCGTATGTCTAAAGGCAGGTTGTTTCCACGCAGGTTTCAATCGTTCAAAAGATTTCATCTCTTTTTATCATTTGTTAAGGTTTCACCATTATGTCTAAAGACAAGTAATTTTTATGTTTCTTCCTCCTTTTAATTTCTCATTTCGTTTCTTGTTTCCCATATTATTTTAATTACTTCTTTTGGTCTGTTTTCAGGCAGGTTATCCAGCTTTCTTCTATCTTTCAAGAATTTTCTTTATTTTAACTTCTCCATGCGCTAAAAAAAAGGTTTTATCTCTCCTTCTACATCAGAAAAAAATTAAAAAATTACGGTTTTTCTAAGTTAAACTATTGAGGAAGCTGCTAAAGCTTTCAAAGCTTCGAAAGCTCCAAAATTTACTGGACTAAAGAAAAATCCTCATATGCTCTTCCTTTCCTCTTTCTGTGGACAAAAAATCGCTTTTTGAGAGTTTTTTTTTGAATCATGGGTTTTCTTTAGGTCTAAACGCAAGCGATTTCCATGCTTCTTCATCCTTTTAAATTATTGGTTTCCTCTCTGACCCCAATATAATAAATAGTTATTATTTAGGTTAAAAGCAGGTTGTTTCCAAGCAGGTTTCCAGGTTTTTTCAAACGCTCAAGGTATTTGCCTTTATTTTTCTGTCATATTTAAGATTTACCCCTCTTCCCGTGATCATCTGCGAGGTTTCTTATTTTGGTCTAAAAGGAGGTTGTTTCTAGGCAGGTTTGCATGTTTCCTCGACCGTTCAAATCCTTTATTCATTTTTACCCTTCGTAAAAATGTTTCCTTCAGATCTAACGGAAAGTTTTTTGTTTCTTGCAGCTCTTAATTTCTTGTTTCTAACAATTTTTAACTTCTTCTTTAGGTCTGTTTTCAGGCAGGTTTTCAGGTTTCTTCAATCGTTCAAGATTTTTCTTTCTTTTTAACTTCTCCATGCGGTAAAAAAGTTTTATCTTTTCCTCCAAATAAGAAATTCCAGTTTTTTCAAGTTAAATTTCAGAATGAGGAACCTGCTAAAGCTTTCAAAGCTTCCATAGGTCAAACATTTTCTGGATTTAAAGAAAAATATGCTCCGATTTAAGTTAACCCTTTTCTGTGAGCAAAAAAATCGCTTTTGAGAGCTTTGGAAGCTTCATCTAAGAAATCAAAATAATCGTTGTTTTTCTTTAGGTCTAATGGCAGGCGATTTCCATGCCTCTTCAGCCTTTTAAATTCTCGGTTTCTTCTCTAGCCCCTATATTTATTCTTTAGGTTTAAAAGCAGGTTGTTTTCAAGCAGGTTTCCAGGTTTCTTCAATCGTACAGGAGCAGTTTCCATTTCTCTTCCACCTTTTAATTTCTCTCTTAAGGTCTAATGGCAGATTTTCTGGCTTCTTCAGCTATTCGAGAGGTTCTCATCTCTGGTTGAGGTTTTTGCATTAAGTCTAAAGCTAGATGACTTCCAATGATTCCTCTATTCTCCATCAGGTTTCTTTTTCAGGTTCTTTCCAGGTAGGTTTTCAGGATTCACTCGTCCTCTAACTAACATAAACTCACTTCTAAACAAAATCTTCTTCCCGTATTTCCAGGTATCACCTTAGGATCGCCTACTTTCGGCGCAATCGAATATCACGCCCTCTTGGACGAAAACTCCCCTGTAGGTACAACTTTAGATCTACCGCAGGCGGAAATCACTACAGAACCGGGCGATGTGGTCACCTTGGAGCTGGAGAAGAACAATGGAACATTTGAACTATCCCCAAGTGTGGTCGAAGGCTACGCCCAGTTCCAAATTAGTGTAAGTTTCCCAGGCTTAATTCTCTGGGGGTGCGAGACAGAATCTGCTGGGGCACTTCGTGAGGGCAACTCATCTGCTTAATCCTCTGAAAATGTTTGGTTGGTTCCTTGTGCAGGTGCACGACAATCGCCTTCTGGACTACGAGCAAAGACACTACGTGGAATGTTACGTAGTGGCCAAGGAACTGGGGAAAGGAAACTATACAGCCAGGGCCAAGCTAACGGTGGTTCTAAATGACGTCAACGATAACCCTCCGCAATTTGTCCAGGCGGAGTTCAAAGGGAATGTTCCAGGTAAGCGTCCAAAGGATTTTGGCTGGAAGAGTTTAAGGTCACTTTTCCAGAACATGCCAATATCGGCACCACTGTGCTAGTTGTGGAAGCCACTGATGTCGACCGGGAACCTGGCAGTAAGATTCAATATTTGCAGTTAACTGGGGCTGGAAGTGAGCTCTTTAGGTACGCTGTTGACATTCTTGAAACCTATTTTTCAGACCTAATTCCTTTTAGTCTGGACTCAGAAACTGGAGTGATTACAGTGTCAGCATCTCAAACTTTGGACGCAGAAACGTTCCCAATACTTTCTTTGGAAGTGCACGCAGCCGATGAGAATGGCAAAGGCCTAAAGGCCACCTCCAAAGTGACCATCACTCTTTTGGACATCAACGACAATCCTCCTCACTTTGAAAAGGACGTTTATGAGTTCATCCTCAACACAGATCGCAGTACTTTCACCACTCAAGCCTTTGTTAAGGCCTTCGATAGCGACATTTCCCCGCCCAATAATGAGGTTCGGTACCAGCTTCTCACTCCCAATGAGGATTTGTTCCTCAATGAGAAAACCGGGGAGCTTTTGGTGAAGCGGATGTGGGAACAGGATGAATTAGTCAGTGTGAAAGTGCGGGCATTCGATGAGGGCGTGCCTAGACTATCCTCAGACGCAGAGGTGAGTCAGGTCCAAAGTGAAACTCATTTAGAGATATTTTGCTTTGAGCAGGTGCGGATCTACCCTCCGGAGTCCAAAACGCGCAAAATCCTCTTTATAGTGCCAGAAAAATACCCGGATAAACTAGCCACTGAGAAAACTCTGAGCGCTCTCACTGGAGGTCGGGTGGAGGTGGAGGAGATTCGGCCCTACACAGGCTTTGAGCCTGGAGCCGCGTATATTTCCAGGGAAACGGATGGGGAAAAGTCAGTGCCCAACCAATTTCCTAGGGATTACTGTTAATAGATCCTTTCCAGAAGCGTGGTGGTAGCAACAGTGCACTACAACAAAGACTCCATAGTGGACGTGAACAGAATCCAGCAGCTTCTAGACGATCAGAACAGGCAGCAGGAGCAAGTGCAGAATAATCAGCACACAATCATCAGAGAACGCGAGGAAACGCAAATCAGGCAAAGCTCCAGTAGCGACTTGCTCTGGCTGATCATTCTGCTGATTGTTCTGGCCATTATTACCGCGATTATCCTAATTTTATGCTGCATCTGTAGTCCATGTCCATTCTACATTCCGCCGAAGCGGCGCAAAGTGCGAAGCGCCGATTTTGTGGAGAAGCTAATTATTAAAGGTGAATTAAGCACCTAGAAAGGTTCAAATTACCAACAAAATCCCATAGGTTCAGGTCAAGGCAGGGAGAGTAAATCGGTTCAAGTAGCTGAATGGTTCGGGCGCAAGGAAGCTTGGAGTGCTGACAAGGAACCCGTTACGGTCGCTGTTGCCGATGTAGCTGAGAGCGAGTCGCTGCGAAGACACGAGATGGATCGAGGCTCTGAAAAAGGAGGGCGACCAGCTGGTATCAGGTAAACCCCTCAAAACGTGCTCTAAAGCTTTGGCAACTGAACCTGATTAAATCAGGCAGCAACAGCTACACCAGAGCCAAAGCATGCAGCACCTAAATCAGCAACACGACACCGGGAGAGAGCAGTTTTACATTAGGGAAGGCAATGCTGATATTTTGAGGCTGATCACTAGGTAAGCAACAGAGGGATCAGTGGGTCAATATGAAGACTTGCCAATTGCAGAGCGGGCGCAGAACCTCTTAGGAACAGCGCTCCATTCGTTGAGCATCATCAGCAACATTTTCTGGTGGATAGCGGCAAAGATATCCTAATGAGGAGGTTTATTGACCAGCAGCAAGCTGAGGCTGCCAGGTAATTGTTATGTGAAAAATTCATCTGAAGACGGTTTAGTGTATAAGTTGGGCTAGCATCTTTGTGTACAGCTCTTTAGAAGAAGAGCAAGTTGGAAATTTGTTGATGGACATTGTTTGGTTGCATTTACGACAGTGGTGTGCCCGTAGGCCTCGGCACAACTACCATATCAACAGATTTCTTACTGCTAACAATTCCATGTTCTTTTACATTTTCAGAGCGCAAGTTCTGCTGCCAAACGCTGTAAACAAGCTGCAAACCGAGCAGGAATTTCTGGAAGCATCGTTGAGGCAACAAAACGCTCTGCTGCGCCAGCTCATTCTGGATAGGGAAAGAGACCTGCGTTTGGAAACCCAGTCTTTACCTGCAGGTACTGTAGAGGCTCAATCCTCAAGCTGGTTAATGTTGAGTAGGTGCGCATATTTTCACGACAGGCACCCAGACCGACCAGGAAATCGCCACTCAAACGGAGCCTCAATATCTGCGGCCTCCACGTAGGCGCGTTCAATCGGACTTGGAGCTCAGCGACGAAGGTTCTGATGAGGAAATCGCCATCATTAAGGCCAGAGCCAAGCGGCGACATCGCATAATGAAGCCTAGAAAAATCAAGACTCCAATCCAAGGTGAGTGCTGAATGTTAATCGTTTTTTTCGCAAATTAGAGGAATTATTGTAGAGGAAAGTGAGGCAGAACTAGCGGAAAAGTACGAAAAGCCCTTTAGGCAGGCGAGTGTTGAAACCAGCACGGAAACCAGGCCGAGGATCAAGCAGACTCGTACGAGTGAGCTGAGGCAAAGGATGGCCAGCACTGATGCTGCACCTGAGAGGCGATCCAAGTCGGTCAACAAGTGAGTCCAAATCTGTGAAACCCCACAATAAAAACATAAAAAAGTTCTTACAGATCAGGCCTCAGAAGGGACGTTCTGAAGGAAATATCCGCATCCTTAAACCACAGCGAGGACAGCGACAACAGCTACAACGAGCAGAATCAAGCGTATCCAGAAACCAGCTACTCGCAGAATAGTTTGGACGAAATCAGCCCTCGCTCGGAGAGAACTACTGATTCAGACAAGCTGAGGTAAACTCCCGCCAAAAAATTCAGAAAAAGCCCATTTAAATGGTGTTTTGCAGGCGAAGCTCAGAAGTTCCAGTAAAATCCAACCGACGCCAACACTCAGAATCTTCCGGCCAGCGCAGGTCTTCAGAATCATCTGATAGACGGTTGGGGCGTCGCGGCTCAGATTATCAGAAATCCAGGCCTCAATTCCGATCAGAAACTGACCTCAGGGCAGTTGGAAAGGCATCTGAGCGGAGCCGCAAGAGGAGTGTGAAGAAGAGCCAGAGTCAGGCGGAGCTGAGCAGTTCAAGACAAAAGGAAGAGAAAAGAGAGAAAAAGCCTGCAGGCAAACGAACGTCGAGGTGAGTAATAATATCATACCACAATTTTTTTGTTATATATAAAGATGTCGCCATTAGATACATGGAATGGTATACGAAAAGCAAGCCTAATGGCGACAAAGAGGAGCGCAGAACGTCCGATGCTTCTAAGCAAGACGTTGAGGTGGAAAAAGGAAGAAACTCTGCGGTGGAATCCCGATTGTTCAAGGAAACAGTGTCCAGCTCAAACAAAAAAGTTGAAAGCGCCAAGAAACCGAACATGGGCCCAGAGCATCCATTGCTACAACACTCCGAACATAGGTATTTAGCTGTAGATACAGTAGACCAGCAACAGGAGTTAACTAGGCCAAGAGTAGGCCTGGGTAACTCATATAATTTTTAGGCGTTGGCGCAGTGCTGCTCAAATGGCTTGGGGCGCCAACCCAACGCACCGACGCAGTAACGCAGTTCCGTTGCTGGGAAAATGTTGACTTTTTTTACTTGTTTAACATTTTTCAAATGTCTTCAAAATTTTAGAATGTTCCAGTTTTAGCCAAGTTACTCTTTCTTCTAAATGCTCAATTTTCTAAAGTTTTACTTAAAAATGTTGCCAAGCTTAGGTATTTTCCTTGGAAAAATTTGAAATGAATTTCGAATCCTTGGTCGCTTTGTAAAAAGTTTTTAAATCCCTTTCCAGCGTCAAATTGGGAACAAAAATCAAATAATTTTCTATCAAAAAATGAACAGAATAAGCGAAAGTTTGCAACAGATTATCTGGAAATCTCGTCACCTCCATTCCTCCCAAGACTATAGAATTTGTTAAAAAATATGGTTTTTTAGTTTTGACCGAAATTTTTTTTGCTGCACTTCTACTCAAAAACTCTCTATTTTGTAGAGTTTCACTTAAAAATACTGACGATCTAGAGGTTTTTTAAGCGAAAAATTACAAGAAAATTTATAGCTGCGTAAAAATTTTACAAAACTTTTTTCAACGTTGAATTCGAGACAAAAACGGAAATCAATTCCTCCCATTTTTTGCCGAAAACCATTAAGGTTTTCTTCCAAACCGATCACAAAACTAAAAGTTTTTAATCGAAAACGCAAGAACCCATTATTTTTTGATGATTTTTTTCTTTTCTGAAATTATGTGGTCTTTTCAGGCAAAAATAATAAAACTAATTTTGCTCGAAAATTCGCCTTATACATCGGTTAGCAGGGAACTTTAGAAAACTCTTTTCAGCTTCGACATAAAGACCATATAATTTTATTCATTTTTTTACAGAAAGTAATTAAAATTATCTTGAAAAAACGACCAGACTGCAAAAGTTTCCAAAAAATTATTTGGAAAATGCATCGCCCTCATCGCTTTGAAAATTCTCAAAGTTTTTTTAAATTTTAAGGTCAATCTAGTTTTAACAAGGTTTCTATTAAGCAATTCTTTCTACGCAAAAATCGCAATATTTTTTAGTTAAACTGCTGACACTCTTCAAGTATTCAACACAAAAACATAACTTTAATAACAATAGCAACACTTAAAAGATCGATTTTACAAGGAAACCCGTCAACTTTCTTTGGGCTCAGTTCTGTTGTAGGAAAAATCTAGATTACTTTTTTCAGTTGTTTGAACAAAGTAGTAAAACGTTACTCGAAAATAACGTTGATGACCCTTTTTTTAGATGTAAAAATTCGAGTAAAGCCGTAAAGTCTCGTAAAGCTTAACTAAATGACTTGTAACTCATTAACCGATGAGTTATAACTCGTTAACTCAGAGAGCGCCAACAGCTCACTAGAGCAACTCAACACAGTGTTACCCAGGCCTAGCCAAGAGTAAAGAGAGCTTTGATAAATATAAATTTAAAATCTTGAGTTTAAATTAATCATCTTATTGAATGTATAGGTTTTGCCATTTTATGTCTCAGATTCGAGATGCAATACCCAAAAAAGCGAGCCGAAGAAGACGCCGATAGTGGAATAGTGCTGACCAAGCCTGAAATGGCGCTGAAGAAGAGCATTTTCACCATCGCCTACAACGACATGCATACCAGCCAACTGAGGCCGGATAGTTCTGTTAATACCCCCTAAATTTGGCGAAAAAACACACTTAACCAACTGTAAAACATTGTATATTTCATTGCAAACTTACTGGTTTGTCTATAAAAGTTGAATAATTTCGCTCAGGTTAGTTTTTATCACAGAAACTGCACTAGACACCATAGAACAATGTTCATATTAAAAAATCATTATTTCCTTTACTTTACTTTGGTTTGATTGAAACCGATATATACACGTTTAACGAGCCAAAGGTCAGCTACGTTCGGTCTTTGAAAGTCATGGAAATGGGCTCCTTGGGCGACACTAAAAACTCGAAGACCACTTCCAAGGGACGTTCGGTCGTAATGACGAACTTCTGCACCATTTGCTCCAGAACAATTGGCAATGCGTTCTCAATGAAACGCTTCCCTGGGCAAATCCTCTTTCCGTAACCGAAAGGGGTGACCAGGTAAGCTGCTGTTGCCGACGTCTGGTTTTTCTCCTCGTTTAACCATCTGGTGACAAGAAAGGTGTTTGACGAATACTTACAAAGAGCCAGCAACTCACCTTTCTGGCTTGAAAGCTTTGGCGTCGTTAAAGTTTCTCTCACTTTGGCAAGCTAGCGCTGATTGGCACAGCACGACAGTTCCAGCGCTGACTTTGTACCCGGATAGCACCAGGTCGGTGTCGGTCACTCGAGCTAGCGCATGAACCGTTGGCGACAATCGAAAGGTTTCCATTGAACATGCCTTGAAAATGTTTGTTTTTCTGGTTATTTTCAGTCATTTTTTCCAGTTCACGCAACAGGCGAAAATGCATAGAAGCAATAAATTGCAAATTAATTTTGAGCACTAAAAAATGTTGCTCCTTGGTTCAGCTATTTTCGAAATTCGGCAAAAACAAATGGATAAAGAAAATCTTTAAAATACCTTCAGGTACGTCTTGGTGGTATCCTCGAGGATTTTCTTCTGACATTCCGGATTCATCGCGATTTGGTACAGCAGAAACAGCAGGCTGTTCTTCAGAGTGTAAATTCCTGCTGCCAGAAAGTCCACAATGGCAGACTTCTTTTCTCGCTCGTCTATGTGGGCTCCCAAAACCGACTGCAATGTTGCTTTCGCATTAAGTTTAAGTTAAAAAATCAGGCGAAATTAGCACCTGAAAGACTGCGCTGTCTTTTGTCGATTCATCGGCCGTTTTGATCAGCTCGGATGCAAACTCGTACATGTTCCTTTCGCTTTCACACAGCTTTTTATAGTTGGGCGTGGGGAAGGCTGTCCAAAAGGGCAACCCAAAGTACGTATCCCTACAGGCAACGAAATTATCGTGCACCGACTGCGCCAACTTCTCAGCCACTTCACAGCGCTGATCCTCAATCAAAAATCCCATCCGGCGACCTGGAAAGCGATTTTTTCGGTCGGTTTATCGGGCCGGATACGGAGGCGACATACGCAGGAACTTCAAAGTAAAGTTTAATGTTTGGCCCCGGCAATAAAAACCGTCTGCTCCCACACTGATTAACATACAAACACGTTCCTAATTGTGGTTTATGAATTTGATTAAGTTTAAAGGACAAGTTTAATGTCGATTCCGGTTTGTGCGGTGACCGAATCGAATTTTTACGAATTCAAATGAGGAAGATTATGCATGGGTTTTGATCGATTTTTTGGAAAAATACCTACTTTAAATTATGCCCAGTCAGACTCTTAGTAGTCATGCTCTTAGTCAGAGACCGTTTTTGCATTCGCAATTGCGTTTTTTTAAGTTTTTCTACAACATTTTCCTCTAACGGTTTTCCAGTAATTTGTTCTTTTCCAATGTTCCAATGTGCCAAAAGTTACTCCTCTTGTGAGTGTATTACGTCTAAAGAAATCGATGAAGCTCGAAAACTCGCATGTAAAATTTTCAAAGGATGGAGGTCGACTGTTTGGAAAAATATTAATTTCATTTACATAATCTTCACCTCAAGAAAGCGAGGAATTCAACGAACATCGAAAAATTCACTCTGAAGTAATCGATATTTTCGGCATATTTTAAACGTTTTCGATTTTAAGCGACGATTTTCTTCTTATTATTGGCTCAAACACTTTATCAATGCACATTTGTGAGCTTCTTACGTCTAAAGGGGTCGATTGAGCTCAAAAAGTGTGCATGTGAAATTTTGATTTTTCACCGAAAATCTCTAAGGGTGGAGGTCTATTATCAGGAAAAATATAAATTTGCTCAAAATGTGCTGAAATCTACGTCATTTTCACCTCAGGGAAGCGAGGAATGTAACAAACTCCATGAAAAACACGCCAGAAGTTTCAATTGCGAATTAACCGACATTTTTGGCACACTTTAAACGTTTACGATGTTTAACCACCTATTTTTCCCTTATTAGTGACCCAAACAATTTTAAATGTACATTTGTGAGCTTCTTACGTCTAAAGGACTTGAGTGAGCTCAAAAAGCGTGCATGGGAAATTTTGATTTTTTACCGAAAATTTTTAAGGATGGAGGTCGACTATTTAGAAAATAGATTTTTTTCAAAATGCCTTGAAATCCACATCATTTTCATCTCAAAGAAGCGAAACGAACTCATTGAAAAGCACGCTTAAAATTTGAAATCCGAAATAATCGAATTTTTCGGAAAATTTTAAGCGTTTTTTGAACGTTCACGATCTTTAACCGACGATTTATTCCTTGTTGACCCAAGCACTTAATAAATGCACATTTTATGCTCCTTACATCTAAATTTAAATTTTTACCGGAAATGTTTAAGGGTGCAGGTCGATTTTTTGAAAAGTTATAAATTTGCTCAAAATGCCTGGAAATATGCATCAGATTCATCTCAAGGAAGCGAGGAATGCATCCAATTTTTGACACATTTTAGCACCTCTAAGCTCTTTTGGAGTGTTCACAATCTTTAACTGATAATTTACTCCTTATAATTGATCCGAGCACTTTATAAATGAACATTTGTGAGCTTCTTACGTCGAATGGAAGCGATTGAGCCCAAAAAACCAGCATGTAAAATTTAGATTTTTGTCCAAAAACTTTTTAAGGGTGGAGGTCTATTATTAGGAAAAATATAAATTTGCTCAAAATGCCCTAAAATCTACATCATTTTCATCTCAGGGAAGCGTGGAATGTAAGAAGCTCCATGAAAAACACGCCAGAAGTTATAAATGCACATTTGTGAGCTTCTTACGTCTAAAGGAGTCGATTGAGTTTAAAAAGGGCGCATGTGGAATTTATATTTTCTACCGAAAATTGTCTAAGGGTGGAGGTCGTCGATTTGAAAAATTATAAATTTAATAAAATGCAACATTTTCATCTCAACGAAGCGGAAAACGCAACGAACTCCATGAAAAACACATTAGAACTTTCGGTTGGAAAATAATCGCTATTTTTGGCACGTTTCAAGCGTTTACGATTTTTCCCCTATTATTGACCAAAACATGCATGCATGCACATTTATGGGCTTTTTGCGTCTAAAGTAATCGATTGAGCTCAAACCCCGCGCATCTAAAATTTTGATTTTTTTCCAAAATTTTCGTAAGATGGAGGTTGATTTTAAAAAAATGATAAATTTGCTCAAATTGCCTTATAATATACACGATTTTCATCTCAAGGAAGCGAGAAATGCAACGAACTCATTAAAAAACAAGCTAGGAGTTTCAATATCGAAATAATCGATATTTGGACATATTTTGGACGTTCACGATTCACATCTTTAACCGACGATTATCTCTTCGATATATTCCTAATTATTGATACAAACACTTCATGAATGCATAATTGTGAGGTTTGTGAAATTTTGATTTTTACCGAAAAAGTTTAAGGGTGGAGGTCAATTTTTGCAATGCATCGCTCCAATGCAAGTCTCCATCAACCGTGAGCCACCGTGTATACAGAGAGGCTTAAAAAATCCGGCAATATTTATCTGAAAGACTCTTAAATACGAGAATTTTTTAGATTGAATTTTTCAATATTCAGCCGTGATTTTCTGGGCGCAGCAATTGACAACTTCCATCAGCCGGCAATAACAATACTGTTGATCTTACCCAACACCAAAGCGCAAGTAGCTTCCAGTCCCAATCGGCCTGCCAATTCTTCCAGATGATCAATGCGACCATCGCGGTACCTCCTCTGCTTGATCAAGTGGCACCAGTCGTCTGCAATTTCATCCATTTGAGGCAGAAAGTCGTTGATGGTTTTGGGGCTAGTCAGCACAGTGGTCAAGGAGGTTCTTAGGAAGTGCCATTTTCCCCCTAAAAAGCCTCCTTACAATCCCGATCTAAATCCATGGGAGTGCGGAAGTGAGTACCTTGTTCATTCACTAGTCCAGTACTTGCGTATCGTTCCGGATGAGCTTTGCGGTATTTTGCAACGGCGGCTGTTGGAGGCCTCATAGGCCACTTTCCGGTGCTTTTGAGCACCGTTTCGATGTCGCTGCGCTCCACCACACTAATAATGGGCACATTATACAAAGCCTCCTCTTTGAAGATGACACCGTATTTCCGTAGCATGTCCTTGTAAAACTCCGGAATTTTCGACATTTGGTACCGTCCGATGGTGAACAGCCACCTGGTTCCGATCAATGGTAGCGAGAGAGGGCCTGGAATGTCTTGCACTTCTTTGTGGCGGAAGTCTTGAAGCTTTTTTGGTTGCCACGGTGGTCTGAAGCCGATGAATATGAAGAATAGGGCGCCCAACAGGCAGGTGAATATGTCCAGCATAGTAATCGGCTGAAATTAACCATAACAGTGAAAAAAATTAGTTAAGTGTACTTTAGAGTGGTAGTTTTACCTCGCACATGTCCCCGCACAACACTAATAAGACACTAACAAACAAATTAAAATCGCGCCGTGCACTATGACTTTACCAGTCCGAAATCAAAGATTAACATATAAATAGTCGATTTTATCAGCAATCTCAGTTTCATATGTACTGTCTAGTGTGGTACTTATTTACAAATGCATTAAAGCCAGATAAAACGTATCATATTGTTTGTGATGAATTAATGATCAAGTAGTGCCAGTCACCTGCTGATCTCTTAAGAATATGGCTAAAATTTTGCAGTTTATTTTGACTAGAACGAGTTTTTTTGGTAGATTTGCCGTCTACGAGGGATCGATGGAAACGTTCTCCAATGTAAGTACTGCTTTACTGGGCGGTATGTGATTTTTTTTCCATTGGATGGTTTGAAAATTATTTAAAGCTTTCTGGGAATTTGGAGAGAGTACGGTTGTTGCCCGTGAGTTATCCTGTTGAAAACCAAACAATTGTCACAAGTGCGACAGGATTTAAATCAGCAAAAGTTAGGGGTTTCAGATAATCGTCAAAATCATTTAGACACTCTCAGAGGTGAGGAGTTTAGATGACACTTTTTCCTTAAGAATTATGAAAAATTAACTGCTTAGTTGACTCGAGCGATTTTCCCAGATTTAAATCAGGAAAAGTTCGAGAAATTGCTGGTTTAGGCAATTGAAAACTTCTTCATCACCTTTTGGAAACTTGAGACGAATAATGAGGTATTTTCAAGGCATTTAGAGGAGAGTTTTGCAGCTTAAATAATGATAATTTCCACTGCTTTTTAGCGAGTTTCTCAAGAATTAAATCAGCACAAGTTCTAGAAATTGCTGGTTAAATTACTTGAGCGCAGTAGTTTGCGCAATTAACAATTTTTTTTTAAGTTTTGGAAACTCACCCCTAGTAGTACTTTTTAGCGTTTGTAAAGAAGAGTTTCATCCTTAAAATATCGACCAGTTCTACTGTTTTTCTGAATGAGTTTCTGTATAATTAAACTAGTAAACGTTTGACAAATTGCTGGTTTGCGCAATTGTACTTCTTCAACACTAGGAAACTTAGATCGATGAGGTCTTTTTAATGCATTTAGAAGAGAGTTTTACCTCTTAAATAATGACAATTTTTACTGTTGTTAGCGGGTTTCTCAATAATTAAATCAGCAAAAGGTCTAGAAATTGCTGGTTAATTCACTTGAGTAAAGTGGTTTGCGCGATTAAAAATGTTTATCAAAGGCTTTGGAAACTTGCACTCAGTAGCACTTTTTAGGGTTTGTAGGGAATAGTTTCACATTTTAAATATTGACAAATTCTACTGTTTTCCTGAGCGATTTTCTCGCTAATTAAACCAGTAAAAGTTTGAGTAATTGCTGGTTTGCGCAATTGAACTTCTTCAACACTAGGAAACTTAGACCGATGAGGTCTTTTCAAGGCATTTAGAGAAGAGTTTTACCCTTTAAGTAATGACAAATTTCACTATGTTTAGCGAGTTTCTCAAGAATTAAATCAGTAAAAGTTCTAAAAATTGCTGGGTAAATCGCTTGAGTAAAGTGAGAAGAAAGAAAAGAGCAAAAGTTCTAGAAATTTCTGGTTGAATCACTTGAGGTTTGCGCAATTAAAACTTTTTAAAAACATTTTGGAAACTCTCACCCATGAGTATTTCTCAGGGTTTTTTAAGAAGAGTTTCACTTTTGAAATAACGATAAAATCTAGTGTTTTTTCTGAGCAAGTTTCTCAGCAATGAAACCAATAAAAGTTTGAGAAATTGCTCGCTAAATCCAATGACTAAAGTGGTTTACGCAACTTCCCAAAAAAACTTTTGCACGCTCTCACTCATGCGAATTTTGCAGGGATTTTAGATGAAAGTTTTTCCTTTGGGGCTTTTAGAGTCTTGCTATTTAAATAATGAGGAATTTTATCGTTTTCTTCAGGGAGATTCTCGGGAATTGAGTCAAACTCTCAACTCTCTACAATTCGCTCCTTAAATATCGAGACTAAATAGTGATTTGCGCTATTGAAAACCTTTTGGAAACTTTCAGACAAAAATTTTTTGGGGCTTTTAGAGGATACATATGTCCTGTAAATAATAGCAAATTCCACAGTGTTTTTTTACGAGTTTCTCATGAATTAAACCAAGAAAAATTCGGGAAATTGCTGGTTACATCCTGTGACTGAAGTGCCACACCCCGGAGAACTTTTCAGCTTTTAGATAGGACTTTTTGTCTTTAAAAAATCACAAATTTCACACTTCTTCTTAACGAGTTTATCAGAACCTTTTCTGCTCAAAAAAGAGTTTCTCACAATATTTGCTGATGTATTAATCAGCAAACGTCCAAGAAATGTATGGTTAAATCTTGTGGATAAAACAGTTTACGCAATTGAAAACTTCTTTAAACCATTTTAAAAGCTCTTACTAATGAAGACTTTGCACGATTTTTAAAGCAGAGTTTTCGCCTTTAAATAATGACAAATTTTAGTGTTTCTGAGGCATTAAATCAGCAAAAGTTCTAGCAATAGGTATTCAATCCAATGAAAAATATGGCTCGCACCATTAAAAATATCCTTAAAACATTGATGAGAAAAATGTCATCAATGGAAACTTTTCAGGATTTTTAGATGAGAGTTTTTCTTTCCAGTAATGACGTTAAAAAATTTGTGAGGAATAAATCAACAAAATTTGTAAAATTTTGAATTTCAATTCAATGAACATGGCTCCCACAGTTGAAAAATGTCCTCGAAACCTTCTGAAAATTCCGTCAATGGGAAATTTTCAGGATTTTTGGATGACAATTTTTCCTTTTAAATAATGACATATTTCACTGCTTCGTTTACAGACTTTGTCAGAATAAATCAGCAAAAATGCTAATGATTGGTGTTTAAATCCAATACGACTTGCGCAGTTAAAAATGTCCTCAAAAGCTCTTTAAAACTGTCACCAATGAGGAATTTTCAGGGCTTTTAGACGAGAGTTTTTCCCTTTAAAGAATGTTAAATTCCGGTGCATTGTTTATCGATTACATCCGAACTAAATTGGAAAAGTTTCAGCAATTGGCATTGAAACCCTATGGCCAACATCGATTGCATAAATTAAATATTCATAAAAATTAATTGAAAACTCTTAACCACGCAACCTTTACAGGACTTTTAAAGAATAGTTTCTACTTTTAAATAATGTCAAATTTTCCGATTTTCCATCACATGTTTTTAAGGAATTAATTTGGTAAAGTTTAGTACTGAAGTCAAGAAATTAATGTTGTTTGCACAAATTTGAAATGTGTTATTAAACACTTATTCAGTAAACCAACTAAGGCAGAAAATCAGCAATCGACATTTTTGTCTATAAAAGAGTTCAGTTGAAAATGAGTGAATCAATGTGGTAAAAGTTCTAATTAAAATTAATAATCTCATGCTTTCGGGGGTTTGCAAAGATTATTAAACTTTCGACCTTTGGAGATCATCGATAATAGTTTTAAAGTAGTTCTCGAGTCGCTAATTAATTTTTATTGGCTTTGGTTGCCCCCATGGACTGTCTCCTAATTACGGGCACGTTGATGAATCAGAAATTAACTGTTAAACAATTTAATGATAAGTTAACGAAAAAGTTCGATTAAAATTATTTCTCAATATTTTTTGGAAGTTCGGTTGATGGAATCGACCAACCAGCCCCGGTAAATTAGCCTTCCAAAGAATTTTCGTGATCTAGGAAGAGAACGTGCAAAGTCGATTACAATGGAACGAGTTTTGTCGTTGGTTCATTTTGGTGTTTGTGCGAAAAAAAATACATTCTTCAGTCTGGTCGAGAACATGACGGTGAAAATAGCACACCGATTTGCTCTATTAGGTACCCAGATTGTAAAATTGGCTTTTTAAATAGTTTACATTCGACTGAGAGAAAGTCTTGCGATTTTTTCCTTCAGACGATGTAGGAAATTGCGCGCTTTGGGCGTGAGGCCCCGAAGAGTTCAACAGACGCTCGATCAACAACAACAACAATAACAACAACAACGCAAAAAATTGAGAAGGGAAAACAAAAAGCAGCTTTTTACCTTCCGGTTAAGAAGACTTTTCCTGAAAATTGCGCACAAACTGGTCACTGCTTGCCTCAACTACTCAATGCACATTTTCACATTAAAGTTCCGCACTAGAGCGACTTTTTTGTGCTCTCTGTGCACATCCCGACCGATTTTCCGCGACGCACATTACAATCGTTTGAAAGAACGGTTATAGGCCCGTAGTTTGTTGATACGAAACATTGAACCAGAGAGGCACAAGGCGAGAACAGAATAGTTCAGGGCAAAAGGCATTGCTCTCGAGTTTCGCCTGTACGTTAGCGGAAGTTTGCTTTTATTAGTTTAAAATCATCCATGTCGAGCCTCTAATAGCTTGTTTTTATCAGAAAAGTTCACTGTCAAAGACCGCAAACGGCCGCAACTGCAGGACAATAGCCCCTGAACCATGCAAACAATTTCACTTCTTGGATATTCAAACTAATATTTAAATTTACCTTCTTTTTAATTGCACGAACAGTCTCGAAATCCAGATACTTCACTCATTTTTTAGCTTTTCCAGTTCATAACAACATTCACTAGATAAATGCAAGTGTTTTTACTTTTCAACGCTTTCGAGCCAAATATCTACGTTCTGTTTGGCGTTAGATTGAATTATTTAGTCAGCTTTACACATTCACCTTCTTTGGCAATTTCACTCATTATTCACATTGTTGGCACCTTAGAGCCTCAGCAACAGCGCTTTAAAGACGCACTTTTTAATATCTTCAAAAAAAGCCTCGAATGATGAAAATTATTAGATTCATATCCAGAATATTCAGAGCCAATTCACCTCTTTTTATTTGCCCCAATGTAACATGTGCTTAAAGACTATTTAATTTTCGGTATTTAAACTTACCTCCTCAATAATAACATTTAATTTAAGCTCACCTTCTTTTAGCAACAGTCACTAAATGACTTCATCTGTTTATGCAAAGTATCAACGTACGGTTAAGCGTGAAATGCAATCGTTTAGCCTGCTTTAACTATCACCTTATTTCTTTGAAATGCACGCCAATTTCACTTCGTTTTCTAAAGTAAAACCTTCAAAAGCACTCCCTTGTCGGCATTGGAGTTGATAAAAATATTTTTTTCAATGCTAAGGACACACAAAATCTTTAACTTCATCTCAATAATTTCGCGCTTTAAATTCTTAAACTAACCTCCTACTCATTTGCACACACATTCTACCCACTTTATAACTCACAGGCTAAATTTTTCAAAACAACTTTGCACATTGAAACTTACCTCGTTTAAGGGTACGTAACTATTTAATTTAAACTCACCTTCACTTAGAAACAGTCACTAGGTATTAAACATCAATAGAGCCAACTTGTGCCAAAAAAATTATCAAAGTTTACCATTTAATTAACAGTAAAAAGAAGCACGTCACTACTGCGTTTAAACTTTCACCTTCGTTTAGTCAATGGCAAGTACTTTAGAAGTTTAAGATTGACCTCCAAAACATTTGGATATTAATAATTTGTATTTGATTAAAACGCACTTTCCGGTCACATCTTGTTTAAATATTAATTTAAGTACATTGCTTCGCATGTAACGTTGAAATAATCGAACATTCCAAGTGTAAAATCCATCTTTTCTGTAAATTTACAAAACACCGTTAAAATGGATTTTAAATGAACCCCCTTTGAATATACAGATCCTCTATGGTTTCAAAGATATTGACTTTATTTGAACCGGTAAAATTTGCGGCTGATAATAAAAAACACGTTTAGTTTAAACTCACCTCCTTACTATCGCGAACAATTTAAATGTTGTTTTTGGTTCTTAAAATTAGTCAAAGCGACCATTCTTATATTAATAGTGCAAAAAATAATTGTTGCCCTAAAAAGTTAATTAAACGTAAGGAAAAGGCGTTAACTATGAAGGAATAATTTAATTTAAACTGACCTCCTCATCGTAACGAATTTATAAAAGAGTTCAAAAGCTGCCAAGGCTTTGGGGTTTCAGTTAAGAATCCAGAAATGCGATTAAAACACCGCATTTTTTAAATACTTCGCAATGAAAACAACCATGTTTAAACTAGTTAAGATTACGAAAAACTCCAAAAAAGCTGATTTCCCAGTTGAAAATTATTTTGTGTTACGAGCTTCGAAAATCTAAATTTAGCATAAATGAAAGTTTAAGATATCCTTTAATGAGCAAAATTCACTTCTTTTTATTTGCCGGAATGTAACATGTGCTTAAAGACTATTTAATTTTCGGTATTTAAACTTACCTCCTCAATAATAACATTTAATTTAAGCTCACCTTCTTTTAGCAACAGTCCCCAAATGACTTCATCTGTTAATGCAAAGTATCAACGTACGGTTAAGCGTGAAATGCAATCGTTTAGCTAGCTTTAACTATCACCTTATTTCTTTCAAATGTACGCCAATTTCACTTCTTTTACTAAAGTGAAACCTTCAACAGCAGTCCCTTATCGGCATTGGTGATGACAAAAATGTTTTTTTCATTGCTAAGGACAGACAAAATCTTTAACTTCATCTCAATAATTTCGCGCTTTAAATTCTTAAACTTACCTGCTACTCATTTGCACACACATTCTACCCACTTTATAGCTCACAGGCTAAAATTTTCAAAACAACTTTGCACATTGAAACTTACCTCCTTTAAGGGTACGTAACTATTTAATTTAAACTCACCTTCACTCAGAAATATTCATTAGGCATTAAACCTCAATAGAGCCAACTTGTGCCAAAAAAATTATCAAAATTTACCAATTAACAGTAAAAAGAAGCACGCCACTACAGCTTAAACTTTCACCTTCGTTTAGTCAATGGCAAGTACTTTGGAAGTTTAAGATTGACCTCCAAAACATTTGGGTATTGATGATTTATATTTGATTAAAACGCACCTTCCGGTCCCATCTTTTTTAAATATAAATTTAAATACTTTGCTTCGCGTCTAACGTTGAAATGTGCTATTTTTTCAACAAATTTCGGATTTGTAACCGAACATTCCGAGTGTAAAATTCATCTTTTGTGTAAATTTCCAAAACACCGATAAAATGGATTTTAAATGAACCCTTTTTGAATATACAGATCGTCTATAATTACAAAGATATTGGCATTATTTGAACTGGTAAAATTTGCAGATGATAATAGAAAACACATTTAGTTTAAACTCACCTCCTTACTATCGCGAACCATTTAATGTGTAGTTTTTGGTTCTTAAAATTATTCAAAGCGACCATTCTTATGTTAATAATACAAAAAAATTTTGTTGCCCTAAAAAGTTCATTAAACGTAAGGAAAAGGCGTTAACTATGAAGGAATGAATTAAATTTAAACTTAAATTATTTTAATTAAATTAAATTAAAAATTTAAACTGACCTCATCGTAACGAATTTATAAAAGAGTTCAAACGCTACCAAGGCTTTGGGGTTTCAATTAAGAATCCAGAAATGCGATTAAAACATCGCAGTTTTTAAACACTTCGCAATGAAAACAACCATCTTTAAACTAGTTAAGATTACAAAAAAACTCCAAAAAAGCTGCTTTCAGGTTGAAAATTCTACGATTTTTGTGTTACGAGCTTCGAAATTCTAAATTTAGCATAAATAAAAGCTTAAAATATCCTTTAATGAGCGAAAATTCAGTGTGCAAATTTCGCACTGTCATCAAAATGTGCCATGACCCCGGCATTCAAAGGGCCCTTAGCCAGCAAAATCGATTCGAAAAGTTTCGAATAACAATGTAAATGCAATATGCTTAATGAGCGTTGTCTGTGTGTATATTCACGGCACATTAACCCAGGCAATGTATCGAATGTACGTCCTTTTGCCAGTTCAACTTGATAGCGATGGAAATAAAAATTACAAAAAGGAAACGTGAGCGGTTCCGTAATAATTTCGCTGTATTGTTAGTGCGATTACACTGTATGAAGGTAGCCTTGACCCTGGTCAATGCGACCAAGTTCGATTTAGGATTATTTAACCGACAAAGACCATCAGCTATTCATGGAAGATTTGTGATAAACTCACCGTACTGTGCTGGAAACCCCCTTTGCTAATTACATCGGCCTTAAACCATCAACAACTGAGTGAAAAGACTCAGAAACTGGTTCTTAAACAACTGAAAAACTAAGTAGTTAGATAGGCAAAGGAATTTAAAAAAAAACACACAAACGAGGTGTTAAAAATGCATGTTTCACTTTTTTATTTCAATAATAATAAAAATAATATTAACATTAAAAATAAAATCATACACTGACTGTACATAAATATACAGGACACCGCGATATCTTTTTGCATTTAAAAGAACTTACAAGAATAAAACACTCTGTGGGAACGATATTACGGTGTCCCTTACTTTCTAACTGATTTTAACTTACGCTACTTCTAAGAAAAAATGTAGTTATAATTAGTGTTCGAATTCTCTATTTACACCAGTAAACTTGAATGGGAGGGTTAAACGGGAGACATAACGATGATTTTGGTAAATGAAGACGGCCGGGGTGATTTAATGAGTTATTTAAGTTAGCTAAACACTGACCAACAGTTTGTTCAGATTGGGTATATAATAAATCGGGGTTAAGCAAACGCATAGAAGCACCGCAGTGATTCAACTGATCAATCATTTCCGGAGAAATCGCAATGGATTGAACAGCGGGGCTTCAAGAAAATCCTGTTCCTAACCGAACAAGCTTTGTGCTAAATTAACAGTTAAAGCGCCTAACCCTCGGATACCGAACTAAGGCTGCTTCTAGTCGAACTGAGGCCGATTCGGCTACAAGAGTCGGCCTGCAAGTCGGTCAGGTCTGAAGGTAATATAAGCGGAGTGTTCATGGGCCCATACACTCTTTCTTGCTCTTCCAGCTGCTGAGCAAAGGTTTCTTCTAGTTTCTGGAACAGTACAAAGTGTTAACCATCGGCGATGGACAACAGGACAAGTAAAGCATCACAACAGCGTAGCAAGCAGAACCGAGGACAAAACGATGACAAAGTACAAACAAATGGCAGCAAATAAATCCGACGTTGATGTACTGGCGATACCGTACCAAGACAACTACCAAAAACAACCAAATAAAAGGGTTTAGATACCTCTACAGGCAATAATTTTGAATATCATCGATAAATAATCCTCAAGCGGCCGAATCGTCAGGGTTTTCAAAGCTAAGCTTTCTGTCTTCGACCACTTTGCGAACGGGCAGAGCCCGATTTGAACTGGAATTTCTCGATGTTTCATTAAGAACACTCGTACTCCAGGTCCTTTGATGACCGCACGCCTGCTTGCGAGTAGCGATCGGACTTGCTGGAACCGAAACCGGTCCCTTCTGTTCAGGCACATCAAAGTCTGACGAACTACCTGCAGCTGCGATCGTTACGCGTGGCAGGTACTGCACGTATTTGCTGTGCAAAGCTTCACGGTGCAATCGCTCTTCGATTTTCTAATCAAATGTTTAGTGGTTGAGCCATTTGAAGCCAAAAAACATCCGCATTGGACCACAATTCAATTTACCTGCTTGCGCGGCTTCAGCTGCGCCTTCCACTCTTTCAGCTCGGACATGAACTGTTCTTCCCGCTGTTTCAGCTTCAGAGTCTCGTGCTCGAGCAGCATTTTCTTCTTTTCGCTTTGCAACTGCTCCAACTCCTTTATGGTTGCCTCGCTCATTGCTCTACATAAAAAAAAACCAAGATTAACAGAGTCCGTGTAAAAGTATCGCGCATTTATTGGCATCGGATAAATGGAACCAGCCATTTCTCACTTATTAGGAGATTCTGCGACAAAGCCATTTGGGTAATATTTTCAAAAGGAATATCTAACATCTAGTGAGTCATGAGCTTATTGTTACAGATTACATTCAGGTTTGAATACAAATACCTATGCATTTGGAACGGATGCATAGAACCCTCAAATACATTTATTTCCATAAGAAAAATAATAAAAGACTGGATACAATTCTGTCTGTATTAATTAAATTTGAATTAAAATTGTATTAATTAAATTAAATTAATTCCTAACCAAGAAGGCCGCCAAAAAATTGCGCCCTCTTTAATTACTAATTGAGTATTCATTGTTATATTAAATACAGGGTGTTTCTGAATAAAATGTTCCAAAGTTGAGATTCGATAGACCATGATACATAATCAGATTGATAATTTTAATTTTAACCACAGCATGCGCACATAAGTACTCAATATTACACCGAATTTAATTACATTAATTTTTTGTTATTTATTGAATTTACTATTATGCATTACGCTTTACCATTATCCTCTATAGGAATATCCTACATTTTGTAATGGATTACTTGTTGGACACAAGAAGTACGGCGGATTAATATTAACTGTTTATTAAGAAAACTTTCTGAATACTTTTCTGAATTACGAGTGTAATCTAAAATGTAGGTACTTATTTCTGATACACCCTGTATAATAATTATTAATATTAATGCACATTTTCGTTTTTATATGCATACGTAATACAAGTAATTATTTTTTACGTGGACGTTTTTAAGCCAATGTTGTTTGCCAAGCCATCTGTTGAATTTTAAAAGTGGTTACGCTAGATTTTATTATTGTTATTGTTGGACTTAAATATTGCAGTGGAAATTGACATTATAAAGATTAATCTATAAATCTTTTAGCTTAAACTGAGTTTAGTTTTCCGACAAGCACATGAAGTTTGATAGACTCTTTATATTTCTCTCTCTTTGCTTTGCTGATTTCAAATAAGTTGTCTTTGGACAGATTTTCTGTTGCACTAAACACATTTTCTTTTTCCTTTCCAGGTGGCCACGCAGCTTTCGGTGAATTTAGCATTACTTTGCCCCTGGTGGACATGTAGAACTTTTAGTCCCATATTCATCAACCGACTCGTACGGTGGATTTGGGTCTTTGCTCTTTCGCAGTTAATTTTTAAACTTTGGAAATATTGTGGGCGGCTTTGTGTTTTTACATCAAGCTCATTCTGAAGCTTTTCACTCTGAAAAACCGCTTCAAATATGGAAATTTGGGTTTCAGTACTCAATGCAAGAAGCATCCGCTTACTGGTAGTGTGGATTGGTTCCGATTAAACATATGATTTTTTCACAAGAAGTTTTCAAACTCTGAAAATCTTTTGGGCGTTTTTGTATTTTTACATCAAGCTCATCTAAAAGTTGTCTCTAAAGAACCGTTTCAAATATGCAAATATGGGCTCGAGTTTTATGCTTTTTTGTCAATAAGTCACTATACTATTGAACAGTATTTTGGAAATAAAAATTGCATAATCATCAGAACGGGAAGGAAAAAACTCAGTTTGGAAATCATAATTTCAAAGTCTTATCGTGGGCCTCAAGCAGTCCGGACTTGAATGTTATAGAAACTTTCTAGCATCAGATGAAGAAATCATTGCATAACGATTCTCCGCGAACAGTTCCGGCATTAAAGCCAAAAACAACTAAAATTTGGCATTTGCTCACCCCTAAATATTGCAAGACTAGTATATTCAGTGCCAAAACGCATAAAAGCCGTCATTTCAGCGAAAGGTGATGTTACTTCTTATTAAGGTTTGCTTTAAGATACTGCATAAGATAAAGTGCGTCCGAATATTTGTCAGTAAGTTTGTTGTATTTTTGCTAATTTGTTACATAGAAAAAGCAGAAAAATTATGTTGCGTAAAGGGACTATGAATTCATTTTTCAATAGAAGTAAATATAAACTATTTATTTATAACACATTGGACCTCGTCCGATCGTGGACATGTTAAGGCTCGTATATGCATGATGCATTGATTTAGTGGAGCTAATAACAACTGGCGCGCCAGTAAATTAAATTTGCTCGTGCAAATATCGACTTGCATGCAAGTTGAATCTTTGCATGCTTAGACCAAAAAATATAATGTCCGCCAGATTTCAGTCCAGTTTTCGTTTCGCTGGAGGTAGGAGCTATTATAGGATTAATACGCTCTTTAAATATGATTTTAAAAAAAGTGGCCAAGAACAGGCATATGAAAATATTTCAATATTAATGAACGGATGGACATTTGCAGACTATTCCACCATGAAATCACAATCAAAATGAAACTGGACTGCCAATATTGCAATTTTGTTCACTAAATCTTCATTTTAAATATCGTCGATTCCTATTCGACCAAATGCGCACTTAGCTTAAAACCCCAGTGAAGGAACTTACCTCAATTCTTCCAGCTGCTTCTGATGCTTCAGCTCAAACCTCTGTTGCTCTGCCTGGTATCTCTTCTTTTCCTTCTCTTGAAACTAAAATAAAGAATGTCTAGCAAGGTTTTTTTGAAAGCAAGGGCAACGACATACGTCTTTAAATTTGTTCTTTTCGATTTCGGGGTCACTAGCCCCGGATATGGAAATCCTCATCGACTCCCTGAACATCGCCTCTCTGGCTTTCATTTCCGTTCTAATTCTCTTTGGCAAATTCCTCTTCTCGGTGGTCTGTTTCTTCAATAGCTCCTCCTCCTTCCTTACAGCACGTCTCTTGATTTGCTCCTTCTCTTTTTCATGCCGGGTCAGCATTTGATGCCTGGAAAATTCCGTTTTCTTTTAAACAACCCCATAGGCTTTCCATCAACATTTACCTTTGCAGTATAAAAATGTCCTTGATTTGCCTCTTCATTAGTTGATGTTTTTCGTGAATGTGGCGCTCCTCGACTTCCCAAAGCGCTGCCTCCCTTGTTCTGCAACCCAAACACAAACGATGTTCTATCCCGCTGAATCAAGCAAATTGAATGTCATTACCTGGTAAGTTGCTGCTTTTGCTGCAAAAACTGGCGCTCCATCAATGCGATTTTCTCCCGATGAGAGTCGCTCAGACGCCTCAAAGAACTTTCGTGGTTTTCATTGAGCTTCTCCAAGAAGGTTCGCTCGCGCTCCGAGTGATCAGCGTCCATTTTATCCTTCCGCAGTTTGAATTCGTGCTTTCGCTTCTCTTTCGGCAGCAAATCCACCTCAGCCTGTGACCAAACAAACTTTTACCCCGTCGGCTTGGCGGGACTTCCAAGAATTACCTTTAATAACCTCAGTTCCTGTTTTAAGCCGTCCCTGAACAATTTGAGCTCCCGTTCCTGCTCTGATCGGATCTTCTTCGAAGTGGCTCGGAGGTCGGCGTCTTGGTGGGCTTCCGCCCGCTCGATTTGCACTCTAAATCCAGATTATTAAATAAAAGTGGGCAACTACAACAAATATAAATACCTCTGTTGTCTACTGAGGACCTCTAGATCATTTTCATAGGTTCTCTCCAAGTTCTGTCGTTCCTGTTCGAATTTGCGCTCCTGCTGTTCCAAAGCCAGGTTCTCCTTAGTGGCCAAATCTTGGAACTGTTTCTGTTCCTGCTTCTGCAGCAACTTGAGTTCTCTGTAAATTTACAGAGAAAAATCAACTCTCAGGTGGAAACTAAGGGCTGGTTTAGAGAATACCTGAGTTCCTGCTTTCGATTAAACAAAGGGTCCCATTGGGGATTGTCTTCGTCGCCATAAATCACCTTGCTGGTGGTAGTTGTAATCATTACGCCATCTATCATGAATTTTCTAGTGCGCTTTCTAGTCTTTCTGTTTAATATGGCTGCAGTTTGTGAAGCTGTTTTTGGGGGCTTCCGTAAAATAACCGCGTGATCTTCGATTTCGTCGTCGTTTTTCACTGAAAAATTAGAGAAAAGAATCCCGAATAGAATCCCAAGTGTATGAACCAACTTACCAGAATCCTTCCCATTGCTGCCCCTGCTTTCATGGCTCGCAATGGATATGCTTTCCACATCAGACTTGCTTACTGAAACCGGCCTTCTATGGTGCGAATCTGTGCTTCTCACTGAGCCGCAGTCACTATGAGACCTATGAAAAGTTTCAATTGTCATTTAATTTTCCAGTAGAAGAAACGCGTGATTTACCTGTCGCTAGTTGCAGATTCGTAGTTATCTACATACGCCTTTCCATTCAAAGGATTGCGCTTGTAGGTGTCTTCGGCACTGGATGAATAAACTATCCGGCCGTTCATTTTGTAGCTATCCAGAATGATGGATGTACCTTTAAAGAACGTGATAAAACATCCGGATGGTTTTATTTCAAGCAGCAATTTACCGCGAAGTTCGTCGCCGTAGTCGCTCTTGGTGCTGCCCGATTTTCCAGAGCTGCTGTTCGAAAGATCGCTGGTGGAACTTCTAAAGGTTTCAGCGCCAGATTTGTCGATGTAGGATGTTGAATCCTGATTGAAATTATTAGAATAAGTCCAGCCTATCGGCAGTGAGTGGTTGGGTTTACCTTGACTTGAACCTTCTCTTCGTCGATTTTAACGACGGAGACATGACTAGTATCCAGCAGCCTTGAATTGGCCTCGGAAACGTCCAAGCCGGAGTCGTTGATCACGTAGCTAGAGTCCGTAATTAATACCTGAAAAGACGATTAAATTTTGCTCGATTAACGTGTTAGATTCAGAAGTCTACCTCGCTTTCATCCAGTTTCTTTCCTTTGATGGGTTTGTCCCTAAACTCGCTAGGCGGTGGATACTCCAAAGAGTCCAATGAAGGGCAGAATTCCTCATCGGAGGACTCAAGTTGTGTTTTGTTGGTTTCATTGGCAACTATAACCACTTCGCCTGAACTGTGATTGCTAGGCGAAGCCGACGATGTTCTGGACATCATGTGGGAATTGTCGATGATTATTGGAGGATGGGTCGTTACCACTGTCACCTGCAAAACCCATTAACAAATCCCTATAGTCGTTTTCGATACAAGGGCAAAAAGTGTCAATCCGTCAGGATCTATAGGATTAACAAAATTCTTAGAACAAAAGCAATGAAAACTACCTGACTGATATTCGACGCTAAGCTATTGGATTGATCAGGCAAATCCGAGTTGATTGTGATGGTAGACGTGTTCTTGTTGCGCTCAGACTGCGGAGTGGAAACGATGACAAAGTTCATGCTGTCTTCTGGTGTGGTGCCACTAAAAACGCATTTAAATTCCCTTGACTGGGAGCCAAAAAACCAACTCACCTCGAGCTATTAACCGTCACAATGCTATCGCTGACACTCTCCACGGGCCGATCTCGCGACAATCGTTTGCCGAATTGGCTCTCTAAAGCCCGTTTTACTTGCGCAATATTGGAAGACCGACTCGCGTCGTCTGTGAAGTCTTTTGCGAATTCTGCCTTCGGTTTATCTGCAAGTTTCCGCAAATGTTTAGCTGGATTTTAAAAGTTCTCAATGGAAATTACCTGGAACTGGAGGCGGTGGTAACGGGATATCGGCGACTCTCAACCCCCGCTGATCCTCTTCCGGCGGTGTAACAGGAGGAGTAACTGGCGATGCTGGCGGAGTGGGCAAAGAGGGTAGAATTGGAGGTGGCGGTGGTGGAGTGGGCAAAACTGGAGCAGGAGGTGCAGACGCACTCTGTTCAGGTGGCGATTTAACGGCAGGGGATGGTTCCGCTCGAGAACTGCTTGATTTTTCTGGGAGAAGAGGAGGCGGAGGCGGAGCCGGACCCTTTTCCTTCTCCTGCGAGTGCTGAGTTTGCAATTGGGGCGGAGGCGGCGCCGGTCCTTTATCGTGCGAGGAACGCCGCATAACCGGCTCATCTTTCTTCTCACCTGCCTGAGAAAACAGCAATCATCTTTAAACCACATCTTTAAACTGGGACTTACAATGCTCTTTTCTGCCGCTGCGGCCACCGGAACCACCACTGGCACCTTTTTATCGTCCTTGTCTGAACTAGGCGACGGTGCTTCTGAAACAAACCCAAACATCACACCTGCCCACTTTTACCACCACAACGGGCAATTCCATACCTTTCGCATCGACATCATGGCTTTGCACTGACGTGGAGTCTTCTTCGATGTCCAGCGGTACATGAGACGTTCGGTCCTGGAAAATATCAACAAAATTTCAAGGAAAATCACACAAAGAAACCCACATAAAAACGGGGAAAGCAATAAAGGAAATTCAATTGCCTAAGCTAGTGAGACAATTAGTCTTACCTGTTTAACGTGAATAGGGAATGCAGGAGTACCAGAAGAGCAGCATGCATAACAAATAAAGCTGTGATAACATCAAATTTGAAGCTTGGGCAATTATACAGGTCGAGTACATATAAAGGGGGCTTGAAAATGGTTGATAATTGGGGAAAAGATTATTTGATTGAGATTTGCGACTATTCAAAATTAGTCAACAAGCTGTTTTTTCTTCATTGGATTCTAGCAACAATTGAGTAACTGTTGGGAAATGCAATATGCAATGATCTCTAAAAAATCTTCAAGAAAAACGATCACTTCTAAGCCACCCTGCCTAACAGTGAAGAAACGACACACCGTTGATTCTTTAAGAGACAGAATATAAACACCTTGCATATGCTGAACATGAAACAGTGGCCCTATAACTTACCAATTCTCTGATAAAGTTCTTTATGTTTACGGTACTTCCTAGAGCGCTAAGCATGAAAATATGTACAAAGCAAACATTAGCAATGTTAGACTTGGTAAAATAATTAACAATTTAAACAGTATGGTGCGTTATCTCGCTGAACAAATAAGTTTCACGTTTTTGTGATATGTTACCTCGGGATCATCATCCGTCAGCTCTTCCTCGACAACCTCGGCCCGATATTCCAGTAGCAATTCCGTCAGGGGCTTCACATCCAAAGTCCGATTAACAAACGGATGCCTCAGCAGGTCTTCGCAGTTGGGTCGCTTTTGAGGGTCCTTGATTAGGGATTTCGCGATAAAATCGTTGAAGTCTTTTGACCATTTGGACGGCTGTTCCAGTCTGGTTGGGAAAAATGCAATAAATCACTGCTCAGCTCTACATTGAGCAGCGTAGATCGTACCTGGGGGGATCACTTTTTTGGATCTTTAACAAAACCCGCATGGGCGACATCTCGTGATTGGGCGGCTCCATTTGGGCGAATTCAATAAGCGTAATGCCCATGGACCAAATATCAACCTAAAACTCCCAGAAATCAAACAGCAATTCCAGTTTTTTTGGGAAATTTACCTTGAAGTCATAGGGATTGTCTCGGAAAGTCTCGCAAAGAACCACTTCGGGGGCCATCCAGTACGGCGTGCCGATGAAGGTATCATGCTTCTGAAGAGTCGACTTGTTTTTCGCAGATACGCCAAAATCGGCTGAAATCAACAAGCAAATATATGTTTAGTGGAAGCCTTACACTTGCTCAAGTACCGCTTAATTTAATAATTAAGATTCTCAGATGGGAGAGCGATTGTAACTTAACTCGTTGATGAGGATCTCATGGAAGGGTTTTTTTCTGAATGCATTTTGTGATCCAAAAAGTCGCATGTTGCGTTTTTGCATCATGCAGTGCTTAGAGGCAAAGAATAAAAAACCCAAATTGAGCCGAAGAACTTCAAACATGCAACGAGAAATGGCGGCAAAAGCCATTGATGTAAAAAAAAACGCCTTCATGTGCTTTAGACCTCATTCGAGCCTTTGATCAAGTGAAACTATTCAAGATTCGACCGGAGAAGCGTAGAAATTTAATAGTTTAAGATTATTTGGGAGAACATAAAAACAGAAGAGAGTTAGAGGATTTGGTGATTAGTGGTAAAAATATTGTGGTTGTTAAAAGTACATAAAAAAGTTGCAGAAAAAACCTGAAAAGTTTGGCGAAATCAGGAGCGAAAAACCGACATTTTTTCCTGCAAAAAGATAGCAGTGATCAACACCTGACGACATTAGCATTTATCTACCAAGAACACATTAACCCATTAAGCGATGGACAGCATTGATAAACCTCATGTGCAAATAATTACTTAACACTGGTTACGTATTGGGCTTGCGGCGATTTATGTCTAATGGAAATGCAAATACAAGAATCGGTATTGGTGTTAAAATATTTCGACAACATTCTGATAAAACAGCATTTTGTATCAGCGTAAAAAGGAAACGGGCGGCCGAATGTCACCTTGAATGGTGGATTTTTCGAAAATTATCAGACTTTTGAGTAATCCGACTATGATAAACTGAAACCTGGATCGCATTCATATAAATCACCAATTTTTATGTGGTATGGATTCAAGAAGCCCCTGAGGGGATTCAGGATATTAAAGGCTTAGAAGGTTTAGTCTACAGGGCTCGCCTTATTCCAGACTTTTTCAAGTTGATGGATTCATTCAGACAAGTGTTGCAAGTTGCTTGAAGATTTTAATCCGAATTATCAAATTGGGTCGCACCAACACCCAATGTTTTTTACAGCGAATACCCAGATCAATAAAGTGCGTTTAACGACATTGATGGCTGAATCAGTAGCAACGACTAAAAATAGCTCTAATAACATTTAGTCGCATTTATACCCAACACGCGGGCCAGGAAAAACTATTAATGAAATTCCCATCGCGCAACGACCAGCTCTGTAGTATGACACAGCAGTGTTGATGAATGTTACTTGGCCAAGAAGAGAAACGGTAAAATGGTGACTCATTTCAATATCTTCAGTTCATTCATCAAACAAACAAGAGTCCGACCCAATGCGATCAACAAGGTGGAGATCGGCTTATCTGCTTAGCCTAGTTGTGGAATTTTCGACTTTATTAAACTGGCAAAACAGTAAATCGATTCGGCTCGCTTTGAATTGTTTAAATGGGTTGAATAAGTTCAAGTGTTAATCCAACATCTAATTAACACCAGTGAGATATATTTGCTTATGATGAGTATCACTAATTCCATTAATTGTGATTTATCCTTTCCAAGAAAGCCCACAAACACAACAGAGCTATAAATAGAATCAATACGCCGATTAAGTAACACGTCAATAATAGCCACCAGGACAGCCATAAAAATGCAATTTCTCTTGGAAAGTGCACTATTGAAGGCAATTAGCAGTTTACTCAGTTCGTCTACTTACCAATTTTAACGCCACCTGCCATTGTAAGCAGCACATTGCCCGCTTTGAGGTCTCTGTGGATAACATGGCTTTTGTGTAAAAACTGCAGCCCCTTGCACATATTCTGGCAAACGTAAGCGATTTGAAGCTCAGTTAGCGGCTTTTCCAGCTCAGTCATGATGCTGTCCAAAGCACCCCCATCACAGTATTCGATTAGAAGCCATAGCTGGAATGTACAGTGAATTCACATTGAAACTGGAATTCTTTTTTAGGGCAAATTCTACCTGTTGTTCCTTTTGGAACGCTTCAAGCAATTCCACTATATTCGGGTGCTTGATTTCCGTTAAAATGTCGATTTCTATCATGAAGTCTGCCAGGTCATCTTCGCCATCCAGCCGGCACATTTTCGCTGCTGCCAACATCCCACTTTGCCGATGTTGAGCCTGGAAAATCACATTTCCACCGTTTCCAGCCTCCATAAACAATCACGCCTAAATACCTTGTAAACTTTCCCATAAGCTCCATCCCCTAATTCCCCAATCATATCCCAATATTCCTCAGGATCGGTTTCCATTTTCACGTTGTTGTAAACCTTCTTCTTCTTGGCATCGTTGCCGCCAAAGTGCAGCACTTTTTTAATATTGTTAAAGAACGACATGTTGGTTTTTCTCACTTTTACACACTTGTGTTTGATTTCAGGCACTGTTTACTTAAACTAGATCACAGGGTTTAACCGAACTTTCTGTGTCGTTTTCTCATTGTATTTGCGGGTGGTTTGCCTCAATTGGAATCTAAGGAAAAGCGTCAAATTGATTGTAATTTAATCTCAAATAGGAAGTTTAGAAGGTTTCAATGCAATAACGGGAAAGTATTATCTTGCAAACACCACAAGTTTATCATGTTTACTGGATTTACCACACGCACGATGCTGCACTAAATTTAGAAGAATATTAGGAAAAATTTGAACTTCAATAAACAGTTCTCGGATCTCTCGGAACAAATCTCGGATTTCCTTCGGTAAATTAATTATTTAACCATGAAATGTGGGTTTTTTTCTCACAATTTTTGAACAGATTTTCGTTTCAGAGTAAGAACATTTGATGACATTTTGAACATGAACTTCGAAAGAAAAATCTTTCCAAACTGATGAGTTTTCGGGCTCTTAGACCGTCCGGGCAAATAATTTCTTCATGACTCAGACGCTTGCATGGTCAGAGGTAGTTTGTATATCTTCATTCATCAAAAAGTTTCGTTAATTAGTAAATATCGACTGAAATTAATTGAAAATCGATGTTTGCTATTGAATACGAAAATTTCAAGTTGCAACTTGCGCTAGTTTCGGAGTTCTGAATTGTTCTTCTTTTCCTGCATTTACCAATTTTGCAAAAATTGTTTTAATTGGGACTTGCCCAACACTTTCGGCGGTTTATGTCGCCACTGTGCCCTAAACATTGTGCAAAATCCAAGTTTCTGCTTGTTTTATTTTGGAAGTTAGGAATTTTTTAAACTGTGCTTTTGAATTTGAATGCAAAATATTGCAGCTATTTTGAAGGATTATCTGGATGTATTTTTAGCAAAAAAATTCCATTCGTTTCTACAGTAGATCTTCAACTGGGCCCCGCAAGTAAGTAGGTGTTACTGAGATAAAGTCCCTTATATCAACAGTAAATAAACAGGCAAATTGCATGTAAACTGCGGAAAATCTTATTAATGGAAAAAACAAATACCGACTGAAATCAGAAGAGATTATGGAAAGTGATTGTATAGTATATGGCTCAGGCTGTTTATGTTGATGAGTCCAGATAGATTTAATAAGCTGTAATCTTGCAGCTATTTTGGACGATTATCTGGACGCATTTTTAGCACAAAAATCCCATTAGTTTCTACAATAGTACACCTACAACAGGAGCCTGCAAGTAAGTAGGTGGTAGTGATAAAACCTCATATACCAACAGAAAATAAACAGGCAAATTGCAGCCAAACTGGGGAAAATCTGGCCAAAAATTACCTAAGCAGGGGACCCCTTGGAGCCCTAAAAACCCACATTTCTCGTCAAACAAATCGATGTCGCATGACTGATGCAGTGAAAGGAAATGTCAGAGCGACAAGTTTATGGCCAACAACCTGCTCTCCAGACGGAATTTTCCCGTATTTTCCACACTTACGATTTCAACACCTTTTCACAAACACCAGGAAAACTGTCCCGGACACCTACGCACTCCCGTTCGGACACCTGTACGCACTTTTATCGGACGTTCTGTATATTTTTATTTCGCCGTAACTCGCAGCCATGCCAATTTCAGTAATTTCACCGTTTCCGTGCCCCGCTCGCCCCTTTTACACCACGCCTTTACCTGACATTCATAGTGACGTATTCCGCCAGTACGTTCCTCAACACACTAATTTCCGATTGATTTGTGCTTTTTTCGCGGTTTAATAGGCTGCAAAAATCCCTAAATTAATCCCTTTAGGCTGTTTGGTAAATATTTCAGCCGTTTAAGTCACTACAGTTCATTTTAAGGCTTTTCAAAGTCTGGTTGAGATCATTACTGAACACCTTCCTGCTCGCAGTGCCATCTAAGTTCGCTAAGTGGCCATGACAGCTAGGTGCCAAAACTCAAAAGTTTCCAGTTTTGATTTTCTACGGAAAATGTGCAAATTACAGTGAAAATTAAGCAAAAAGTATGAAAATTCACCAGCGGCAAAGATGGGCAAGCGGACAAGCATACGAAACCTGCAAATTATGGCGGCCCTGGTAAGTAAAATTTAAAAAAAATTGCTATGAAAAGCGATCGAAAAAATCGTGTTTTTTTTATAACATTGTTCCAATGCGGCTTAGTCCCATTACCCACAACCTACACTTATGATCAGTGAGACTCAGGAGACCTAGTGAAAAAAATTTCTTTAGAAAAAAAATTATTTTTGGTCTATCAAATGGCATAAAACTACCGCGATTGGGAGCTCTGTATACATATAAAAACTTAATTTAAAAATTAATTATAACAATATAAACTTCAATTCAGCTTTCCTTCGCCAATATAGGCAAAAAATGCTTGGAAAGGCTAAATTAATTGAGAAAATTTGTGCTAATCGTACATTTATTTGTTCCTTCACCAATATAGCATCAAATACTTCGCCACGCTCAATTAGCTGCGAAAAACTTGTACTTTTAACTTCTGTTCTACTACAGAAAAAAGCCGTACTTACATTTATGTTTTAGTACGCAGGAAAATTTATTTTTTTTTAGAAGTGGAGAAGAAAAGTTACGGAAATTATGAAATGAGGGGTGAAAAAGGTTTAGTTTCCGATCTACGTAATGTAGTATAATTCCAGACTAACTGCCTTGATATGTAAATATTTTAATTTAAGTATGTATTTTTACAAATTGATTTCAATTTAACAATCGACGCAACCAAGTTTTTAGTCTATAAATAAGTTATACAGAAAACGAAATTGATCGGCTATTTCCCATTATAAATATTTTTTTTTGCCTTTGTGCGGTATTAAATCTTTTTAATTCATTATTAACAAATTAACTATTAAATCACTTTTTTTAAATTATTTTTTTTAGTAAACCCCTGAGGTACGGAAAACCTCGGCATTGAATCGGCGCTTTCTGTTTCTGCAAGCGTGATATACAGGGTTTCGTGTGTTTCATTCAGGGGCGTGATGTACATTCAAATTTTAATCGTGAAAATGAAGGAACTCGGAAAAATAACTAGAAAACTCCATGTAAACATGTGTTAACAAACGGTTTATTTTTTAGATACACGGTGTTAAAACTAGAAATTTTATTCTGTAGCCGCTCTTTTGTTAGTTTTTTACTTCAAATTTGGAGCGCCGATCTCTGAAGTACTTCTACGCCGGCCTCTGAAGACTAGTGAAGATCATAATTAAGCGTGTTGATCGTTTGTCAAAAATGTATAAGGGGATATATATATTGTAACGGAAATGGCCTGGGGTACTCACGTTTGGAATGGGGGGATCAAAATTCATGGTATTTCAGTAAATGGGAGCCCCATTTGCGCCCCATTTACTGTCAAATATGACACTGACAAGCGGGAAGTTTCGCACCTGTTCTGGAGATTTCGAGAACCATCTGGGTTACCTCAATCTATATAAGCGACGACGAGAACCAGACCGGGGGAGTCACTTCACTTCCCCGAGTCGAGCACGTGCCTCCTTCAGAGGCAGTTCCAGGATTAGTTCGGGAGTTCATCGTTGGCGTTGCATACTTGAAATTCCGGCACTTCCTCTTACGTTATCTTCAGCAAAAATGGGCGATTTTTCCAGCGACGAAAGCCGCAATCGCTCCTCAATAACTTCAAACAGTGCTGGTACCTCGAGGAAAATGGGTAAGAACAAATCCCAATCCGCAAAATTCCCTACCAGAGACCCTGACCTAAAGACTCTCAGAGCCGAAATTAAAGCTATGCGGCTTCGAAATTCCAAACAGGACGACCGCATTAAGACCCAAGCCGCCCAAATTCAAGAGCCAACCCGGTTACTCACTTTGGAATACCAAAAAAACACGTCCCTACAAACTGCCCAGCCCCCCCAGACTGTCCCCGTTCAGACAGTGTCTGAAAAAATGGAAGTTGATGAATTCCCGGCCCTGCCGAGCAAGACCGCACTCAACTTCCCAAAAACTTTTAACGCGGCCCTCCACCATTACATAGTGCAGCACGCGGACGCCCCTGAAAAACCCCACAACAAACCCCCCAAACTTCTGCCACCTCAACCCTGAAAGACTCTTCGGCCCCCAGCTCCCAAGCGCCAAGTTCAGAACCACCAGCCCAAGAAACAGCCATTCCCATCGTCATCCGTAATGTGGCTAACTACAGACGACCATCAGGCAATCACGAAACTCTTCTCTCGTGAAAAGGTGGAATTCCACACACACCTTGCTTGAGGACAAGAAACTCATTGCTATCATCAAAGGTTTCCACAAGATGACGCTCCTTGAGATCCAAACCGAATTGGAGGAACTGGGCTTCCACCCCTCCCAAATGCAATTCTTCAAAATCGGCAACGCAAAAATCCAGACCAACATGGTCAAAATGCTCCTCCCAAGAGAGGAAACCCCAATCTTCCAGGTTAAATACCTGCTTAATCTCGCCGTGGTCATCGAACCACAAAGAAACTCCCAACCAAACAACATCAGGCACTTTCCACAGTGCAAAAAGTGCCAAAAATTCGGCCATACCATGTCCAATTGTGCGGCAAAACCTGCCTGCCACAAGTGCGCTGAGGGCCACTTCTATCTAGAATGCAAAAAGCCTCGAGACATCCCGGCTAAATGCATCAATTGCAACGGCCCCCATCCGGCAAGCTATTTCGCTTGCCCGAAAACCCCCAACTTCATAGCCCAAACCCAGATCAAACAGAAACTAGCCAGTTTCCAGAACAAACAAGCCAGTTTCCAGAACAAGGTCGACTCAACGATTTCTTTCGCCGCCAAAGTGGCGCAAAAACCTTCGCCCAAACCCCCAGCCCCCCAAAAGCCCCCCGTGTGCAGCAAGCCCCAGCTTCTTCTCCGGGCCACCAAAGCGCCAACCTCAACCCGGCGCTCATCCAGCTGCTCCTTATGCCTGAATGCGAAATTCAGGCAAAAATCAATCGCATAGCGGCAATGATTAATAGCTGCCCCGCTCTACAAGCACTGGCATGCCCTTAAAGCCCGCGGGAGTTCACATCGTGTCCTGGAACGCCAACTCTCTCTTTTCCAAAAGGTTTGAATTTGAAGGCTACCTCCGGGAAAACGATGTGGACATCGCGCTCCTCCAGGAAACTTTCTTGCAACCCCAAACGAACCAGAAACGACCGCCCCAACAACAAAGGCGGGGGCACCGCCATCGTAATTAAAAGTTCCCTGGCACACTCTCAAACGCCACCAAGCACGAACACCGTCATTGAGCCATTATCCGCAATATGAAAAACTCCCAAATACGAATAATCTCCGCTTACAAGCCCCCCCGAGTTCACACTTCTCAGCAAGACTACGACAGCCTTCTCGACAACAGCCTGCCAACTCTTCTCGCAGGCGACTTAAATTCAAAACACGTCTCTTGGGGTTGCCGCAAAAACAACGCCGAGGGACATAAATTGCTCAAATACTCACAAAACTTAAACTTCGGAATTTTTGCGCCCTCTGAACCCAGCCAGTTCGACCACAGGACCCCCAACATACTGGACATCGCACTTGCCAAAGACATCTCCCACACGATTACCTTAACCAACTCCGACTCGCTCAGCTCAGATCACAATCCCATCATCATCAACATAAACGAACAATACGCCTGCAACCCTCTTGCCCCAATCCCCCACATTGACTGGGACGCCCTCTCATACTACCTTGGAGAGGCTCAAATTCAGGACCACTCCGCATAATGCTAACGACCTAAACTTAGTGAGGATGTACATCCTCACTAAAACCCTAACAAAAACCATCACCGCCGCCGTCTCTAAAGCCACAACCGTAAAAACTAACAAAAACCAAAATCCCTTCAGCCTCCCACCCGAAATCAAAACACTAATCAAATCCCGTAACAAGCTCAAACGTAGAGCCAAACAATTTGCAGACTCCGAACTAAACAAACAAGCTAATAAAATTTCCAAACAAATCAAAATCCAAATTAACTCCCTGAAACACGAAAAGTGGTCCGAATTCTTGGAAAACATACCAACTGGCCTCGCTGACGCCTGGAAAGTCTCCAAGGCCTTGAGAGGAACAACAAAAACTTTCTTTCCCCCCATACATGGCGAGAGGGCACTGGTTTATACGGACGAGGAAAAAGCAGAAGCTTTTGCCGACTCCCTAGAACGCCAATTCTCGCCCAACATGTCTCAGACGGACGACCTTGATTTCGAGGAGGAGGTTGAAAACATCCTCCAAGAAATCAGGCACAGACAAACTCCCCCAAACTCCCCGGCCATACCCCCAGTAACGCTCCCCGAACTCAAAGCCCAAATCACCGCCCCCAAAACCCGCAAAAGTCCCGGTCCCGACCAAATTTCCAACAAAACCTTCAAACTCCTCCCAGAAAACCTCCTTAACCAACTCCTCACCCTAATCAATGCCTCCTTCACCCTCAGAACATTCCCAACCCTATGGAAAACCGCCTCTATCATCCCAATCCCCAAACCCTCCAAAAACAAGACCTTTCCGCAAAATTGGAGGCCGATCAACCTCTAATCCTCAAAAACATGATTCCGTACTGCAAGCGGCCAGGCTAATTCAAGATCTTGAATTAGCCTGGCCGTTTACAGTACGCGATCGTGGCATCGATGCCACGATCGCTGCCCAGGACAAGGGCCCTACTGGAGTCATTTGCCTGGACATCCAAAAAGCGTTCGACAAAGTATGGCACGAGGGGTTAATCTGGAAACTCCTCCACCTACACAAACTCCCCTTAACCTTCGTCCAKTATGTGGCAAGYTTTCTCCAAAAGAGAAAGTTTTTCATATCACTGAAMGRCACCAAATCCTCYATTCGRTCCATCRAGGCCGGGGTYCCCYAAGGGGCCCCGCTCTCCCCAATCCTTTATAACMTTTTCACGGCYGACGMCCCCAAAAMCCCGCACACTAAACTAGCCCTATTCGCCGACRACACTGGCATCTACTACTCAAACCGAAACYTCAACTACATCGTTCTCACCCTCCAAARACCTCTCTCCTCTCACCTCGACGCCTTCCAGGACTRGGCCGAAACCTGGAAAATYCAAATAAACCCAGACAAAACCCAAACCTTACTCATAACCAACAAACGAATTACTTACAAGACCCCCAGACTTACACTAAACGGCTCCCCCCTCGACTACGCCAAAACCATTAAGTACCTTGGGATAACAATAGACCCCAGACTAAATTTCAACGCCCACATCGTCACTGCCCTCAAAAAAGCCCACCGAACCACAGCCTGTTTGTACCCCCTTCTAAACCAAAAAAGCACCCTCTCCCATAAAAACAAAATTCTGATTTACAAACAGGTCATCAGATCCCAACGTTTTTTTTACGTTTTTTACGTTGCCCCCATCCTTAACCAAACCTCCAAATCCGCCATTACCAAACTCCAAAGATTCCAAAACAAAATCCTCCGGCGAATGACGAGACCCCCTGGTATGTCCGCAACTCCCAGATTCATGCAAACCTCGAAATGGAAACCATTGAGGACTTCATTTCGAGGCTTCACGACAAGTTCAAAGCCCGCGTCCTATCACATCTAAACCCCCTAATCAAATCCACCTTCGCCCAAAAAATCCCAAGACACAACTACCCTACACCAACAAGCCTCATGGCAAACCCCCCTTGGTACCACCCACCGTAGCTGAACTGACCAACAAACCCCCAACAACAAACGCTTGACTTTCAAAAGCCCCCCAACTCGCCCCCCGCGCAAATCGCTTCCTGGAGCCATAAAAACCTAGAAAAACTTCCCCCCTCTAGTTTCAAAAGCCACAAAACCGCCCAAAAGAACCACCACTAACACAACACACCTCCGCTGAAAAGCAAACCCCCCCAACACCCTCACCCAGGTATCCTCAAGGTACCAGCACAAAAGACGCAAGGCCTTAAATGGCTAAGTCTATAAAACATCCACGCACAGAAAAGAATTGCGCAGCCTTTGGGTAAAAACAGGGGACTTTGCTGGTACTCTGCATCGCCCTTCTGACCCATTTATTGACCGTTTTATTCGACCGATTTATTCAGTGGTTTCAATCAGACGAATACGCTTTCCTACGGCCTGCTGTTGGAAAATGAAAATAATGTAAATGTCCGTGATAGACTCCAGGCAAACTATAGGATTTTATATGGCTCTGGATAATTGGGCCGATGATATATATATACCTTCGGGCCAATTATCAGTGGATATCTTTTGCAAGCAGGGTTTTCCTATGTGGCTGGTTTGGCAGCCTTTTTAACCCTGTTGAATATCATATTCTACTGCTGTATGTAGACTCAAGGCAAGATTGCCAATGTGCCACTAAATCCTATGAAAAACTTGAAGAAACTTTGAAGGATTATCTGGAAGAACTGCATGCCTCCATTTTGGGAACCCACTGGGATGTTTTGGTGCAGAAATATCTTATTTCTTGTGGCCTGCTGATTTTTTTCTCAAAGCTCCGGTATCTTTTGCTATGAAACTATGATATTGACTCGATCACTTTGGGCTACACTGAAGCCTATGTGAATGGCTTAGAGCTTGCCTGCATGTGCTATATTTCTAAGCCTCTCACTCAGGCTATTCGAATTTACCCTTCAACTTTCGTTAGTGAAATATTGCTGTTTCTGCTAACCGTGTTTTCCGCCCTTGCTTGCTACGCGCCAAATAACAAAGTCTTCATGCTGCTGCTGATTCCGTTGGTGGTGCTCAGAAGTACTATTCAGAGCACGTGGAGAGAATCGCTGGGTGGAGTAGCGGCCGGCCCAACTGCTCCGTTGGTGTTTGGAATATTAGCCAACGAAACCGCATTGACTCATTTAGTTGTGGTGCTTTCCACTTGCATCCCATTGATGATGTGCTGGGTAACCATCAGAATGTGCTCGAAAACCCAGAACGAATTGGGTTCAGAACAAACAGTCAATGACAACAGTTGCTTGTACTTTTATTAAAATTACTCCTCACATTAATATGGAAAATATTTTGCTAAATAGCCTGGCCATCAGCACATAGACTGGCATGAAGATCAAGGCCACTATCATGAAGATTATGAACACGACGATGGTTAATTCGCCGAAGAGAATGGCGCCCTTGATGGCCCGATCTTTGTTGTCTTCTGTTTCTACAATATCAATCGCTTTATCCAAAAGAAAGCGAATGAAGTAGATCAATCCGTCCACTAGAGGCATCAAGTTCCATAGCATTACCAGTATGGTGATGGCCGCAGTATATGCTTGAGTGCAGAACGAAGTGACCAATGTGAGGAATGTGATTTCTCTGAAATGTATTCAGTGGCAGTTTGGAAGTGATGGGATTGGTTGGACGTACTCATTCCTGGGCACGCTACTTGATTCCTGATAATCCACTACGGGTTCCCTGATCATATGCAACGTGTATAATAAACCAGACTGCATAAATCTCATTGCATTTTCCGCTTTGGTTCCTGGTTGAGCTATTCTGCTTTGAACCGATTGATTTTGGGTGGACAATTGATCTCTTCTGGAAGGTTGATTGGAAAAACTGCCGTAATTCTTTGCCGCAGTGTTTGTAGCACTTAAGCCAACCGCTTGGTCGTTTACGTCAACTAAAAACTCCGCAAATATGAGTTTTTTGGGGGGTTTGGAGCTGTGTTTATACTTGAAGCAAAAGCTGCAGTATTGTAGTCTGGTGGCAGGGATGTTTTTTGGAGGATCTGACCTTTATTGCTGCAACCTAAAAATTGATATGTAAGCTCTACAACTTATCCGGTTGCAATCAGACACCTGTAAAATGCTGGGTGACTAACTGCGGGTTTTCACGTCTTCGGGCTTTTTTCCCCTGATAGTGTTTCAGAGCTGCACAGTCTAAAAAGTCCCCAGAAATAAGCGCCCGTATTATCCAAAAAGACACAGAAATTACCAGTGGGTTCCATTGCGTGCACCCAGCGGCCCGTTTAGAATCCATTCCAGTGTTTTGTGCTCATAAGAAACTGCTCAGAACTCAATTTTTTAACAAAAAATGTGACAGAAGAATCTGACGCTACCAGATTATTAAAATGCATTTATCATAACGGCAGGTAGAAAATATACAAGGTGTATTTTATTGGTTTTCGGGAGCCTTAATCGATTTTATGTTCACGATGTTAAATGAAACTTTATTTTTCACTGTTTGCTCAATTCAAGCGAGAAGATGCTCAAGAATATCTGTAAAATCACTTGGAGAATATAAATCTACTCAATTAATGAGAAAATTTGGTGATTTTTTGGCAAATTTCTATACAATTTTAATGTAAAATTTAAGATGACCATGATTTTAGTTGAATTTCATGAGCATTTGTTCACTTTTTCCTCACTTCAATCAAATAATTATTGGAAAAATGTCTTTAACGGCAATGGAAAGACGCAACTGTCTTTATAAATTAGAGAAATTTATGGTTTTGATGAGTTTTTGATAAATGCTTGTAAATTTTTCAAAAATCTGACATTTTGCTGCAAATTTGCTCATTTTGAACATTTCAACCCCGGAATTTGAATGTCTTTAGCAGCACTAGAAATAGACAAGTTTATTCTATAGGGAAAGTGTGTGTTTTATCGAGTTTTTGCGATTTTTGGCGCAATTTTTCTATAGTTTTGTTAATACTTTTTAATGTTTGTTTAGTTCAGTTACGTTTAAGAAATACCCAAAAAGTGTCTAATATCACTTGGAGCATAAATCAACTCGATAAATAAGAAAAATTGGAGATTTCTATGGCTTTTTGCTAAATTTCTAAACAACTTGTCATATTTGAGGAATTTAATGTCAGACGAAATTCTACTGCACGCTTACGAACTAATCTGACATTTTGTTGCCTAATTGGTCTCAAAACTCCGCTTGACTAGTCAATGAAGTATGTCGCAGCTCAACTCACGGGGTCAGTTTAATGGTGTTCGTTGACGTGAAGCAGTACACATTTCGCTCCTCATAAAATCGTAAAAATCGAAGTTTTTTGCCCATTTGGTGCCCAAAATTTAACAATTTTTGATAAAGTAAGTTCGTCTGAATCGTTTCGTGCAAAGTTCTCGACCGGTAAAGTGCTTTTAAAGAAAAAATTCGACTTTAAAAATTTTATGAATTTTTGACGTTTACTGTCAATGCGGATCAGTTGTCAAGTCAAACAAGTGAGAAAAACTATATCACCGATCATAAACAAAGTGATTGCGACACGAATCGGGAACTTCGGGACAATTTTTGGAAAATCTGACAAAATTGGCGAGTGTTTAATTTAGTATGCCGAGATCCCATTTTCTATATTTGTAAATAGGAATTTTTTTTGTAAATTTTCACATTTTTCAGTACTTTCTGATCGAGCGCCTTGAGCAGGGTTTCTCCAAACTTTTTTGATAATAGAACACTTTGCGAACTAATAAATTTTAACGGAACACTTGGTTTATTTTTGAGTTGATTTCTACTGAGCTTTATTTGAACACCTAAAGAAAAAAATGGTCTCCAACATTTTTTATGAGCAAAAAAACACACTTCAAATCGAAACTTTATTTTTAACACCTTAAAAAGGGTCGCAGGGCGTATGAAGTAATGGGTATGTCAAATGTCAAGTAAATGTGTTCGCGGAACACAGTTTGGGAAACTCTGACCCTGAGAGTTTTTAAGGTAAAAATGCAAATAGTTGTAAAAAATTAATTTAATACTTCAAAATTAACATTAATAGTACAGGTACTTTACAGTTATTGTTCGTTTAACACAAGAACAGCCACATTGGTGGCGGCAATTGATTTATCTATAAAATCCAGATAATTAGCCGGAACCTGAAAAGGAACTATTGTTGAACAGCGATTCATTCGCTTTGTCGTACATTCAATTATTTATATTGTGAAAAAGTTTCACGATTTTCTTGTGTAGGAGTTTCAGCTCTGTGTAATACAGCAGATATTTCCAGATTTATATTGTTTGTGCTTGTTTTGCTCAAATCGTCCATATAAATACTTACAGCCATTTTAGATCGATTAAAATCGCTCTTCAGGAATTGCACTTGGGCTTCTTTACACTTCAGTTCATAATACACAAGGTCGTCTCTAATATCTTCTATTTTATTGTAAAGTAATATTTTCCGAAGGAGTTCCAATGGGAACCACAATTGCTTGCTGCTGTACGCCACTGACATTACCAGCAAAGCTCTTCTAATGGGAGGTAGAAATCGTTTGAGCATTTAATTTACGCTGCTAAATCAATTAAAAATCAAACAACACATCAATAGTTATCTGGATTTTAAATACTTATGCCCGCAACTTTGAGGGTTTTCTAATTTATCTATACAGGGAGTCCCGTAATCACATGATCAAAAGGGTTCTGCGATATTCTTTGGAACAAAAGAAGACGATATGACCTAACTTTTATTAACAAAAAATGTCTGGGCCATATGCTATTGATGGTAAAAGGTCTTCAAAAAATAATATTTTTTGAAATATCAGGAGAATGGTATTATGTATTTTGGTGAAACTCGCTGTAAATTTGTGTAAGACTCATGTTTTGATGAAACAATCGAGTTCAGCCGTTTTGGACAAGTGGTAAATTTATGAGTCGTACAAAACTACTAGAACTTTTTATTTGGTGGACGGAATCAACTCTATTTCTTTGGTTGATGCACTAATCATGTTAATCATCATTAACAATTTTGTGTTATTTGTAAAATCTTGTAGCATTCATAGTTCTTGCGCAAAAAAATGTCTAATATAGACATTATTCTCCCGATATTTGAGAAAAGATAATTTTTTGAAGAACTGACCATCAATAGCAGAGGAGCCAGACATTTGTTAGACATTGACAGACTTAACAAGGTCAGATCGTCTTCTTTTGATGCAAAGAATATCGCAGTATCCTTTTGATCATGTCTTACAGGACACCCTGTATTTTCTCAGTAATTACATGCTGGTGTGGTATGGAAATGGATGACCATTGGAAAAAATGCTATATTTTCTTAAATTTTTTAGATGTTGTAGAGCAATATTGCCTGTAGATGTGTAAAAAAAATGTGTACAAAATCTGTATTTGGCCGTAAGTTTATAGTTTGTTTTTATTTGAAAATTAAACCTTTATGTTTGAGCCAGTATATCAAGACAACATTGCGTACCTTCGTATCTCAGGAAGTTGTAGAGCAATCACACATTGCAACAAGAGTGAGAACTGTGGAATCAAACGGCAGACCTTAACGAAATTGTTTCCAAAATAATTCCTTGAAAGTAGTATGGCCAGTTTAACGTCTTCGGTCCTACAAAAATTAAAAACTAGCTTGAAAATGCCTGTTCAGATACCGCAAATGTCCACCTACTTTTGCGATTTTGGCAATTTAAGGGCTCTAGTAACAGCAACTGCACTGTTGAGATTCATCACCACATATAACGCTTCAAAGTGGGGTCGATTTTTCGCATATAAATTATCATTGCATTCATCAAACATGCAAAGCAGTCTTTTTAAACACTCTTGCAAATGAACGTTGTTCATGTGAGGGTCGAAGTTTTTTATAGGTTCATTCAACAATCTGGAATTGTGGGTGTTTTAACAAACTCAGCGCATAATAAAGTACTTACCGATATGCAGCATATGCATAGAAACTAACGATTTTCTGGAAAATGTAAATTGATTCTTTTGCCGAGAGATTTTGGATCACCATATCCTGTCTCACTGAGCGCAATCTATCCATAACAAAATCATAAGTGACATGCCATGGAACCTCGTCATTCTTTATTACTCTAAAAAATTAATTTCGCTATGAAGTAGCTCTAGGGGCCTTGTTCGATCTTACTCAGTCAATAAATAATTCACGGTTTTCAGCAACGTTTCAGGCGGTCGCAGACTTTTTGCATCAAGCAGGTTTTTACCAGCTGCTGATCTGGAGAATGACTTTATCATTTTGGTTTTATCGGGTGGTTTTTCCAAAGGATGAATTAATCCTTCTTTTCTTCTCCTAGAATTATATGTATGTATTGATTTAAATTATAGAATTGCAAAGAAGCCCAACTCAGACTGTGAAGGCTTTCACTGTCGGTCAAAGTATAGGTTGAAAAGTTTTCCGAACTTGCTAAAACTTAATAATTAGCTGTCTGGATCTCTTTTATCCACAATACCGCTCTGATTTATAAGGTCTTTCAAATTTTTCAAATCACTTTTAAAGTCGATTTTTTCAAATCGCATTTAAACTATCTGAATCGATTTTAGATGCAAAAGGTTTCCTAACAAATATTTGTCTTCCTGTTTACTCTTCAGCATAGAGAAAGTAGCATAATATTATTTTATTATACGGGGTGCCCTGTAAGCATATGATCAAAGGGGTACCTCGATATTCTTTGGATCAAAAGAAGATGATCTGACCTTGTTAAGTATGTCAATGTCTAAAATTGTTAAGTGGCAAGAAAACAGACATATTTTTTGTATTGGCAAATATGAGCCCAATTCACTTGCAATCAAGAAATGTTGACTAATACATTTGCGTAATACACCAGAATAGCTCCTCTTGTATTCTACCTATACAGTGTCCCGTGAGCACATGATCAAAATGATACTGCGATATTCTCTGCATCAAAAGAAGACGATCTAAAGTAACTATTATTAACAAAAAATGTCTGGCTCCCCTACTATTGATGGTCAAAATTCTTCAAAACATTTATCTTTTTTGAAATATCAGGAGAATGGTACAATGTGTTTTGGTGAAACTGGCTGTGAATTTCTTCTTATGTAAGATTCACGTTTTGATGAAACAATGGAGTTCAGCCGTTTTGGACAAGTCGTGAATCCTTGAGTGTCGTGGTACAAAAACTGCCAGAATTTTTTACTTGGTGGATGGAATCAACTCAGTTTTATTTTTGTTGACGCACTGCGATCAAAAGGCGATCTGACCAAACTTTTATTAACAAAAAATGTGTCAAATGGTCAAAGAGGTTCCTCCTCTGCTATTGATGGTCAAAGTTTTTTAAAAAGTTATCTTTTTTGAAATATCGGGAGAATGGTAAAATGTATTTTGGTGAAACTCGCTGTGAATTTTTTCTTATGTAAGACTCATATTTTGATGAGACAATCGAGTTCATCCGTTTTGGGCAAGTGGTGAATTCTTGAGTGTCGTGGTAGAAAAACGACCAGAACTTTTTAGTTGGAGGATGAAATCAATTCATTTTTTTAGGTTGATGCACTAATCATTTATTCACAATTTGGTGCTCTTTGTAAAATCTTATAGAATTCATAGTTTTTGAGCAAAAAAATATGTCTATTTTCTTGCCACTTACCAATGTCAGACATTGACAGACTTAACAAGGTCAGATCGTCTTCTTTTGATGCAAAGAATATCGCAGTATCCCTTTGATCATGTGCTTACGGGACACCCTGAATTATATAATTATATACAGGGTGTTTCGTAATTTATTTTTGGATATATGTATTTCTTTAATAGACCATATTCCGAAAAGTCTCCGATCTACAGCGTGTTAAAGTCTTACTTTAAAAAATTATATTTTTTAATATTGCTGAAACCCCTTGGAATATTTTAATTAAATTTTATAGACTTAGGCACTTAACAGCAATACATGTTTTGTGAAAAAACTTTTTTCGAAACATGCGCATCTGTATTCGTCGAGCTTCGGTCTGTTTTTGATAAAAAAACAGCATCTTAAAAACTTCAACTGATACATCCTGTATATGTTAACAATTTGGAATTGTAATCCCTTTCGGATGCTTTTTGTCTAACACTTTCCGATACCGATTTTTAACGAGTTTCCATCATTTTGATTCAAATCACTGCATCTTGAATGGAGTTTTGCTAAAATTTTTCAACAACCAATCAACAAGAGGACGTTTGTACGATTGATGCCTTCGATGTGGTCTTCTTACAAAGCATACAGCTATCTGGTTGGACTTACAGACGGAGGACAAATTACCGCTAGTTGGGCATGAGTGAGAGGCTTATTTATTGCTCTATTTTCGTCTACTGATACAGTTTTTCGTTGCGAACCTGGTTCTGATTACTTACATAACTCTTTCAGCCGATGAGCACATTTCCATGCAAGTTCCTCTGACAAAACTCGAGTTCATTACTTTAGAGGCTCTATTAACTACTGTCTTGACACTGAGCGCTGATAATTGGGTTATAAAATGCAAATTTCACCTTTTTTCAGGGGTTGTTAATTAATAAACAAGACAAGTAAACCATAGATAAAGGCAGGTAAACAACAACACTGTTATTTAACCTCATATTTTCGTCTTCTCTTTGTTGAGTTTTTAAATTTCTGCTGATGTATGGGGCACGGATTTTTGAGGTGGAAACACTTTTGAATCATTTGATTAATTTTGATTTTGCTTTAAAAAAAACAGGTTTTTTGATAGGGATTCTTCACTGAGTTTAGAAGATGTTTCCAATTAAAATTTAACTTTGCGCTGGCTATTTGAAAGAGTTTACTCGAAAAGGGGTTTATGCATTCTTCGAGTTTATCTATAGGATGTTTGGTTGAAAATAAATTCGAATTCGCTTCAGCACATTTCTATATTTTAAAAAAAATTAGTGTAAATATATACAAATCAATGCTACTAATATAAACTGTTGAAGTCATTCTTTGGGCGCCAGAAGGAATTTCGTATGCGATCCCTTCACTAACAGAGCCCCCGTATTCTTATCTTTAATGAGCACTTCAAGGAAGGCGAGACTCTTGCCCATTTTCACCGTATTGCCGAAAATCTCGATTTGATCTCCCAGTTTAGCGCCCTTAATGTATCTGAAATCAGTTTTCATAGCAAACGGAGTTTTGAATTAAAGTTCGGAAAACTGTACTCGGTATTGATGTGTACAGAAACGTGCGGTAACGAAGTCTTGCTGACTAGAGCGTAGCTGGAAATGCAATCCACTAAAGTGGCTGACAGCCCTCCATGTAGGCCTCCCATAATATTGGTATGTTCTTCCTCTAAGGTCAGCTCCGCTGTGCACTTGCCATTGGCTAACGCCGTAACATTCACCTAGAGAAAACCTTACTTCAGAAAGCATGTTAAGGGTTACTTTCCTTTGTAACATATTCCAGTAAATACTCGCCTTATTTAGAACGCCATCAAAATATTTGGCTGTGCGAAACATTTTGTTGATATCCGCTGCTGTAATCGGCATTTTTTTTGATTTATAGGCAGGGACAAGTCTTGTTGTCTACTTGTCTTTGTAATAGAGAGAGGCTCAAGAGGTTAGGATTTGACCTGGAATGACTCGAATTTCTTATGTAATTGTTGCGATGTGAGGTTTCTAAAATTCGGACAAACATTGCATCTGTATTGCTTAAATCCTGCACAATTAGATTGCAAGACTGCTTAACTTCGCTAGGAATAGGAAACATTTGGAATTGATTCATTTTCTTTAGAATGGTATTCTTTATTTTCCTTAGTAAACTGGATAAATCTTCACATCAAACTTATACAACGGTGGTGCTCAAACGGCTCACAACTCTCTAGTGCATGGTGAATGTAAAACAAAAAAGGTTTCCAGCCCAAACGTTAGCATCAAATTTTCTCGCGGTGAACAGTGTCTCTACGGCGATAAATCTTGAACCAAAGTCCCTGCTTTGTACTTCGGATAGAGTTCATCAAATCGCCTGTTTAGGAACTGGACTTTATTCAAAAGCCCTGACACTGTGTCCTCCATGTAGGATTGTCTTCTCCACTCCAATTGGGGTAGGAGCAGTTCAGCTTGAGCTACTCTGGACTCTAAAAACTTCACCCTGTTGCACACGGAGTCCACATAGGCGTCCTGCAGCAGGCTGTTGCTGTTGTTTCCTTGAATTGTTTTAAAATGCACATGGGAGCCAAGGGAGGTTTTGTTTGAATTTACCAAAGCAGGAGATTGCAGCCACATCAACGATAAAATAGGGCTCCTCGTTTTCTACGAGGAATGAAATGGGAATCAGGCAATTTTTGGGATTTCGCAGTTTCAACACCTGCTTGTCTGGATAGGCTTCGCACATCTTAAACAGCTCCGCTTTGATTGCCTTATAGTCCATGCTGGGATATACAATTAGGTCTTTTTCTGTAGTTTCGGGATTATCTATTAAATTAGGCAAGGGTGAAGAAGCAGGCTAATTTTTGCTCATTGGTCACGGTGTACCTGAGAGATCATACCGCCGGATTTTCAAGGGAATCGTTCTTTTGGAAAATTCCATTTTGCACTGTGTTTATGTTGGTTTATGTATGTTTTCGTCAGTCAGCTGATTGTCAAAATGTCACCTTTTCACAACCTCACTAACTCAGCTGACATTCCGGCGGGGGGTGTAAACAGTTTCGGCTTCCAGTGGCGTATCCTTATGCGGGCATTTACTCTTGCGTCTACAGAACGGTCTTACACAATTTATCCAGGTGTGGTACAAAGTCAGTTAATAACTTGTGTTCGTGGAGGTGTCTGAGATTAGCTGAGCTCTTCTGCTACCTATGCATTCTCACTAATGTTTGAAAAATGATCATATTTAATGAATAATTATTGATCTAAACTTTTAAAACCATATATTTTGAGTTTCGGACAAAAGATAAATTGAAATGTCTGAGAATAAGCAGTTTTAAGCTAACAGCTGATCATGTTAATAACCGATTGCCTACTACACATTGATTGAAGCGGCCGAGTGTCACTTGAATAGTCTTCAGGCCACAGAAAACAAACTTCTGCGGATGGCCATAGATGCGCCCTGGTTTGTTAGAAACTCCCAAATCTACAGGGACCTGGAGTGGGAGCCACTAAGAGAGCTTCTCACAAGGAAAGCGGCTGAAGACTTCGAGAAAGCTGGAAGGCACTCCAACGAAGAGCTACGAAATCTAGTAAATACACACCTGAAGAACTGGGACCCAGGGAAAAAAGGCCCAGACACCAACTAGCCCAATAGGGCAACAGGTAGCAAACGGCGTAATCTGTGGTAGCAATTAGCATGCACATAGAAGTAAGGTGTAAATTAATAAGATGCCCATGCTAGCAAGCAGCTAGCATGGAGAGAATGCGATGCTATGGCATACGGATGCCGGAGCTGACAAATTCTTAGAGAGGACTACAAGTTTTAAAGGATAACTACCGAAAACTCGTAGTACCAAAAAGGGGTTTTTTTAGTTGGTAAGAATCCAACACTACCTAGGGTTCGGAACACTGGGTGTCTTCGCAAAGATTTTTATTCCTAAAGCCGCCGGGCAAACAAAAAAAAAATACACATTGATAAATTGTGTAAAATCGTTCCGTAGACGCAAGTGAGTTTGCAGGCTAAAACTAATAAAAAGTAAGGAAATCAAGCGAAGTTAATCCAAATATTGACAAAAGTTTTCTTTTTGCAAAAGTAATTTCTTTTGTTTTGGAAAGTGGTAAATTTCAAACAAAGAAAAGTGGTGAAAAACGGCATCTGCTCGAAAAATCTATAGGAAAAATGTTGTTTGTATGAGGTTTCTTATAAGGTGACCATAGTTTCACATTCTGGAGTGGGAAGTTTAAATTAATAACACGGTGTAGGCTACGCCACTGGTAACCGTTCGACAAACTTGACCACTTTGACGTTGCTCTTGACGACATAGCATAACCTCATTTTGAAGTGTCAAATTGACAATAACAAAGCAATGGTAAATATGTTATTTTTGATATTTGGAACTTTGTATTTGAAATAGTTGAATGCTTCATTTACCTAATCAATAAAAAATTTGAAAGCACTAGGTGTAAACAATCAGTAAATATATAGACTTAGATATTAGACTATAGAAAATAAATTATATAGACTATAGAAAAATCTTGACGGATCAAATGGCTCAAGTGCCTTCTCGTAGTATTTGGAAAAAAATCATTACCAATTTCGTGAACTCGCTTAAACCAAGACAGTTCAAAGGCGACTACATAGGATCTGATTTGTTCGGGAATAAATATTTCGAAATCCCCGTGAATTCTTCTAGTTCGAGGTCGAGGCCTAGCCGATGGTTTGAGCCTCCAATCAAAGATGATTTTCAGAATGAATTGTCTGCTGAATGGGAGTCCTGGCTGAGAGGTACGTAGGAAAATTGAATCTAATTACATAATAAATACATAAAATAACCTAGTACCTAGTACTGGCAGACAATTCATACTGTTTTGTATATTAAGGTAGAAGAAAGTTGCCGCCAACAGACGAAGAGGTGGCCAAGAACTATGCAATCATGCAATTGAAGAAGAAAAATGCCATTGAGGTGGACGCTAAAGGAGGAAAACCGTCAGTTATGGAAGCGGGCTTAGAAAGTTTTCCACAGCGTTCAGGGTTCGAGCGAGTTCCTGGAGCCAAGTTCAAATAGATCATAATAAAAAAAACGTAGTCAATATGCTGTAAAAATTGTAAATAAATAGTAGCCACAGGCGTCCTAAATATGGCGGTTTAAATCGTTTTTCCTTTCCAAAAAATGCTTGATGCGGTTCAAGTCTGGATTTCTCAATAATATGTGCCGACCTGCGGTTTTCATAGGATTTCAGGGGCATGCTTTAAGTTTTTGGACATTTCAGGCCAAGATTTGCCTCAAAAATCTATCTGAAGAAAGACATTTTCATCAGTTCTGACCTATAGTTGCCTCAAAAATGTCTTTAACGGTTCTAGAAAAACGCAACTTTTGATATAAATGAGACTTTATTTGCAACATTTTCAACAATCTGGTATTTTTCCACGGTTTCAGTTGGATTTCAACTTTTTGCAAATTTAATTTGATCAGGTTTTCCTGAAAGTATTTTTTAAATATTTTTATAATTTGAAAATCGCACATTTCAGAAAGTTGATATACGAGCTTGGGACTAAAATAACAGAACTGCGAGAAATTAAAAAAGGGCGATTGAAATGTAAATTTTCTGGTAACTCTGCCAAATTTTCAGCCGCTCTTACAAAGCCTTGAACCATTGAACCCATCGAGTTTATTAAAAAAGTTGATTAAAACGTGAGTATTTCGGGCTTTTACGCTATCGTGGAAGAGACCAGCATCAGTTCAGTGAAAAATTGGACAGTTTCAAGCAATGACTACGATTCCTATTTATTTTTTATAATTCACTAAAAGCCATTTGCAGACATATTTTGCAAATTTCCTATTATCCCTCTAAATTAATTCACATACATAATTCTTCGGTTTCGACCCAATACCTATGCAACTGTTGATTAGGCAAAAATTGCGCCTTTGAACTGATAGTGCGAAGAAATGGCACAAGGCAGATAAGCACTATTGCGAAGAAAATGCATGAATGGTATACAAAATAATTTCAAACGGTACACAAGTTTTTCATTCTGCAATTCAACTGCTGTTTAAACCCATATAGGCGCCGCTTCCCCCACCTGGAAGGTACGTACCATAGGGTTCTCACGTGCGTAAATGGTACCCATCATATACAATAGATTTAGTTTCCTCGCGATTTCAAACAAAACGCAATTGCCGCTCCAAGTTTCAAGAAACAATGTGTGACATCAGTAATGCGCGAAAAAGCTTTGTGTGGGTTATTTGGGTAGTTCTAGTAGCGCAAAGCCGGGCTTCGCCTCAACTGGACTTGCCCCAATATGAGCCAAACTCAGCAAACTACCCTCAAAATCCCAGTTTTATTCCGAATCCGAATTATTCCCCATATAACGGGGTGTATGCCACGCAAGGGACGATTCCTCAACAAACACCTGAAGCTGATCGCGGGTATAAAGACATTGGCAAGGCTTATAGAGGCGATGTCCGGAGCTTGCTTCAAGCTTTAGAGCTTCAAGCATCGCAGCAATGCACTAATAATGTAGCTGCCCAATGGAATTTTGAGACGAATGTGAATCAAGCCACACAACTGGAGGCTGTAAGTTTTTGAACTTTGTTGCGTAATCACATGTCCTAAGAGGAAGAACCCAAAGGAATTAATAAGCTGATAGATAATTAACTTAATAAGATTCCCAGTAATGGACCAGGGCCGTTCCCACACATACAATTCCTAATCACTTTCATTGTTATCACTGTATCGTGAAGTTGACCCTCTTTGCCGATTTGTTTCACATTTGCACTATTTTATTAGGAAGTGCCCAACTAACAATCGCGAATAACAGTGTGAGAATGTTAGAGATCATTTTCAATAAGAAAGCGAAAAGACTTTCTGTTCATTGTTCTGCATAATAATGCTTATATATGTACATACATAGTTTATTCACTTGTTTAATTGCATACATTTCTGTTTGGAGGCTTCAATAATTAGGCATTAATTTGCTTGCCAAAGCTTTATCCTTTGAACTTTACTGAAGTTTTCCAGCAGCTTTGATTTTTTTCTTCATCGGCAGCTTCTCCTAAAAATTCCCCACAGTTGATCCAGAAATGGAATCGCTTTGTTCGAGTTTTTAATCCCTTAGCTATCTGGTTGCTGTCGATAGAGCCTTCATAGTCACCGGCAAACTCTCCATCATGGAACCATTTGAAGGCTGGAAAGGTTCCATTAGAGAACCTGTTGCAAATTTTATCAGTCTCCCCAGTACAGTCCACTTGCCGCAATTTTATGGGCGGTTTGAGTCTGATTAGGACTTTAGCTACCCGAGTATAATCAGTTAGCAATTGCTTGCTTCGTTTACACCAAGAGGCGTAGATCATTACCAGAGTGTGCGGATTTCTGGGTAATATTCTGTAGAAGTTGTCGTCGGTTAGTTCGATAGAAGCAGTTGCCATTAGGGCAGAACTAAGGAAAATTATTGAAAGCAGCATTTCGACAATGACTTTGTCATTTAATATTTTTCACTCTCAGGTCTCAGAATCAGCAGGTTGCATTATTTTTAAGTCTCCATCCATTATAGTCTGTTGAGTTGAAATTGGTGGGCTTTTTTAAGACACTGTATAAAAGATCTTTAATTCCATCCATCGTATGAGCATCGATGTCGCAAAAACGACACTAGAAAGACGGAATTTTTGGTGTAAATAAGGTTTTCGTGACTTTTTACGAATGTTTTCGAAGTTTTCAGTAATATGAGATTTTTCCGTGTTTTTGTTATAGCACATTTCAACCTAAAAGATGCCTGAAAAATGCTTTTAACAGCACCTGGAAGACTAGCAACGAATTTTTGTAAATTTGTCAATAAGGGGCGGTTTCCGACGATTTTAGTTGGATTTAATTGGCGTTTTTACAAAATGGCAATAAATTTTTATTTTATCGAGGACTAAACAGTTTCGTTTCCAAAATCTTGCCAAAAACATTCGAAAAACCTATAAATTTTAAGTATTTTTCGGCAGATCGAATTTCATTGTCTCTATTTCGTTTTCGAGTTACACATGTTTGAAAAATGGTGGCAAAATTTGTTTTATTGATTCCCAAACAGTTTCATCTACAAAAAGTTACCAAAAGCAAACAAATAAGGTGTACATTTTTACTATTATCTACCAGATAGAATTTAATTTATCTACTTTCGTTTTGAGTTACACATGTTTGAAAAATGGCGGCAAAATTTGATTTTATTGAATCCCCAACAGTTTCGTCTACAAAAATTTACCAAAAACAAACAAATAAGGTGTAATTTTTTACTATTATCTACCAGATAGAATTTAGTTTCTTTTATTTCGTTTTGAGTTTTTTACAAGTTACACATTTTAGAAAAACAGTGGCAAAATTTGATGTTATCGAGGACCAAATAGTTTCGAGTTCAAAAATTTAACAAAAACGTACGAAAAGTGTACAAATCTTGACTAATTTCGGACAAATAGGATTTTATTTCTTATTTCGTTATGAATTACACGTTTTTAGAAAATAGCTACAAAATTGATTTTATTCGGCGCCCACAGTCTTGTGTTACAAAATTTGTCAAAAACAAGCAAAAAAATTATAAATTTGGCTATTTTCGAGCAAATAGGATTTCATTGCCTCTATTTCGTTTTTTTCCATATTTCTGAAAATTTGCGACAAAAATAAATTTTATTGAGCACCCAACAGTCTCGTGATTTGCCAAAAATCGCCATTGAAAAATTCGCCAAAAACAGATAAACATCGATTTTATTAAGCACCCACGGTCTTGTGTTTAAAAATTTAGCATAAACAATAAAAAAATGTATTCATTTTTTGATTTGAAACAGTCAGGTGTTCAACAATTTGTCTAGGGGTTCAAAAATGTAGCACAAACAAACGGTTTTCCTTAAAAGTTACAGATTTTTGAAAAATGGCGACTAAAATTGTTTGTTTTCAAGCAGATAAGATAAGATAAGATAAGATTCCTGCATTTCGTTTTAAGTTACAGATTTTTGAAAAATGGTGATTAAATTTGATTTTGTCGGGAACTAAACAGTCTGGTGTTCAAAAGTTTGCCAAAAACATAAAAAAGTATAAATTTTGACTATTTTCAATTAGATAGAATTTAATTTCTTCTATTTGGTTTTGAGTTACACATTTTGGAAAAATGGCGGCAAAAATGGGTATTATGGTTAGAAAAGTGTATACATTTCGGAGCAGATAGAATTTCATTTCGTTCTATTTCAACTTAAATGATAATTTTTAACTGTTTGTGAGAAGATTTGCTACGTAAACAACCTCACTTTTAACTTTCGGGTTTAAACTTTAGTATTATTCAAATAATTTTCATTGGTTTTCTAAAATCATCGTTTCGAATCATTCTTGTCTTCTTCTTTTTGCTTGCTTCTGGTGTATAAAATTAAAAATTCAAATTCTTAAACAATAATGCTTTTCGGAATGGTTGGAAGAAGGATTCGGAATGAAAACAGGCAAAATGGAAAGGAAACAAATGCATACTTTAGTTTTAGTTGCTGGAGAGCTTTAATTATTTATCAGTTAAATATTTACAGATTTTGTTGAAAATTGAGAGATTTCCAGAAATAAACCTTAAACAGGTTAAAACTGTACTGTTTCATCCCGCTTCGAACTGGAAAATCATCCACAAATAAACCGAAGAGTTTTTAGTATTTTTTATGTTGCTGATAACTCCATATGATAGCACTAGAAAGAACTCTCCATAAATGAGGAAGACTTATGGTTTTCTCGAGTTTTTCCGGAATTTTTGTAATCGGTGCTCTCGATTTTTTGTAATCTTTGTAAATTTGTAAAATATTCTTATTCCATTCTAATCGATCAAGCTCTTGCAGTTGTTCCACTGAATCTTCTACGTTTTATATTATTAAATGTATCCTGATCAAAACATTCTTCAGTTCTTCAACATCATAATAAAAGTCCAAAAGTAATTGTTTCTAATGGAAAACTGCGGCATTTCCCATGTTTTCCGAGCGTTTCGTAACATTATGCTAAACCGCTACTATTTGCAGGTTCTTGTAAATGTGCTGGTTAAGTGATGAAACCTTTGAATGTAGGTTAAAGTAGTGATAAATCGTATCACAATGACCGTGCATGTTGACTACACCTGCTTCGTTTAATAGACATGAAGGTATCAATGGACAACATGACACACGTAGTAACGGATTAGGTTGTGGTTGAAATTGTTTCGATACGTTTCTATAACAATAGAAACGACCATCTTCAGATTAGGCCTGGGTAACACTGTGTTGAATTGCGCCATTGAGTTGTTGCCGCTCTCTGAGTTAACGAGTTATATATAACTAAGTTAATGAGTTATAATTGATTTGTTAAATCTTTACGAAACCCGAGAATGAAATTTTCGCATCCAAAAAAGGGTTATTAACATTTTTTATGAGTAAAGTTTTACTATTTTGTTCAGACAACTAAAAAAAAGTCATCTAGATTTTCCTAGCAACAGAACTGAGTCCAAAGAAAATAGACGAGTTTTCTTGTAAAATCGATCTCTCAATTTTTTTTCGCATAGAAGGATCAGTTTGCCAGTATTTTACAGTAAAACGTAAGGAAAAACCCGGATTTTCTATTTAGAGACACTGTTGTTTAGAAATATTGAGCTAAAACTCCAGTTTTAATAGTTTTCCAAATAAATGATTATAAGCTTTCGCTTTTTTAGTTCGGGGAAATATTTTTGGAAAAAGGCCTAGAAATAATTCGAAGCTGCAAAAAGTTTTCCAAATATTTTTGCAAAGCGGTTAAGGAGGCGAGTGTTCCAATAAAATGTATTTTATAATTTTTTACAGAAAATACTCGAAGATGGTCAGCATTTTAAGTAAAACTGAAAAATAATGTGATTTTTGCGAAGAAAGAATTTATTAATGGATACTTTACTAACTTACTTAGTAATTGCGTTGCATTATATCTTAACTAGCTTAAAATAATCAAAAAATGTCTGTAATAATTAATTTGGCTTAGTTTGGTTGGTTTTAAGTTAAAAGTGTGAATTTTGAGCATTAATTTGATTCAGTTTTTCTAGAATCTGGGCTGGTACTTAATATCAATTCCAGGCGGAAAATTTAAATAATGCGCAGTGACTCAATGTTGTGTTGTTTACCATGCAACCACTCCTAATATCATAGTTCCTATATATTATTGTTGCAGATGATACATCTAATTATACACGGTCAGCATTGTTTCACTCATTACAAATCAGCACCTGATTCACTTTACGAAAATCAGATCATTTTTAATAGCTGTTGCAAATCGTGTTTTCGATCATTTGCATTTGAATAATCGCATTGATTCATACATCATTTTGATCAATTAAGTATTTTTTAATAACGTTGGGATTTTATTCATCTGAACAGTTGGCCAGAAGCTACGGCTTTCGCAAGAGCTACGGCTCTTTGTATGTGAACTATTTCAATGAAATAGCTTCTATTAGCGTTTGCTTAGTCAAGCTAGGCGGTGGCAAAGCATGATTTTCTATAAAAATAGTCGCTATTCTAAAAGATGGCCTTTAAGGTAATGTACCATAAACACCCGATAATTATATTATAAAACCCAGCCTTGAAGGAACGTCTGCGGTTTATTAATGAGAACTATGCATTTAGTTGTCGAGATATAATTTCTAAATTGCATTTGAACAATTATCCTTCAACTGCATTCATATGCATTGCTAATGACAATAATTTTCCTTAATTAGATCGCTCTAATAGCTTTGGAATTTGATATTCTGCGACCATCTTCAGGAAATGTCCTCATGTCCAAAAGTCCCAAACGAATCACCAACCTGATGGTTGTTTGTTCAAACCGAATTCCTTACAATTAACAACAATTTGTGGAAACAATGGCCGGATTCAGCCGAATCTTTAAGAAAAAATCTCAAGTTTATATAATACACATATATGTTATTGTAAATGATGGTTTCGGTTTTCGGTACCTTGACCATACGCTTTTATGTGAGAACATTATTATTGTATTCATCCGCCCGTTTAAACTTGACATTATTAGTTGAACTGTATGTACTTGAACTGTTGCTTGCTCAATAAGTTTGTTTTATGAATAGTTTAGAGGATTATTTATTTTATTTTTTGGTTTTAGTTGCAGGCACAACAAACCTACTCAGAGTTTCAACATGCGGTTTGGGAGTTGCTCAATCATGCAGGCAATCTCGACAATATTCCGGATTCCAGGACTTTTAGGCAGATCCGATATTATTCGGTGATTGGTCCAGCGGCTTTAACTCCTGACCAATTGGATCGGGTATGTCTAAGAATGTTATCCAGGTTAGAAGCAGCTGATTTTCAACTGCAATTTTTAACATCAGAACTTTTGAGTTTGAAGGTGCGCGACGTTTTGCTAAATTTCAATATATTCAATTATGTGTTCATTTTCTGCTCAGAAATGAAGAAAACAGATAATCCAGATCACACAATTAACCCAGTGCTGATGATCATCAAGATGTTACCATTGCGTAAAAATGCAAATAAATTCCGCGAATGCAAAAAGGCGAGGTGCTTTACTCGATTATACAACAGAAAACAATAATTAATCGATTAATCAGTCGCATGAATGAAATAAGGTGCAATCTGACATAATGCGCATTAAATATTAATCACTCACAATTACTCGCTCTGCTGTAGGCGTTATATTTATGCTCTTTTATAGTACAACCGGCTCATCAATGACATGCTGGCTATCTACAACACAGCGTCGGTATGCAGCTTTAATGATCACTTCCATTGCGGGCTCAAGTTGCAACCCGATTTGAACAAAATTATGGCAAAAAGCCGGAATTGGGACGAGCTGCAACATGTTTGGACCGAGTGGAGGCGACAGACTGGACAGAAGATGAAAGATCTTTATGAGCAGATGGTGCGTTTGTCGAATGAGGCTGCTAATTTGAATAGTAAGTGGCATCGGTAGATTTTTCGTAATCATAACTAGGCCTGAGTAACACTGTGTTGAGTTTTTGCCGCTATCTGAGTTAATGAGTTTTTACTCATTGGTTAGTGGGTTATAACTCATGGCCGATGAGGGAATTTTAATATCTAACAGAAAAAGCGATCAACATATTGCTTTTGCGCATATGATTGCTTTTTGGTCTAAAACGGGAAAATCCGGAAATTTTGAAGAAACTTGAAAAAAATTCAGAGCCATGAGGGTAACGAATTTCCAAATATTGATTATATGCTTTTGCTTTCTCTGGTCGTTTTTTGAGGAAATCTAAATTTTGTCGAAAAAAACAAAGCTAAATGATCGCTTTTAGTAAAAACTGTGTTTTTTTCTGTAGATTTTACCACCACTGCAGACTATTGGTCATTTCCCTTCGAGTCTCCGGCTTTAGAGTTGGATCTGGAGGACGCTTGGACGGAAATTAAACCTCTATATGAGTTATTGCACGCCTATGTGCGGAGGAGATTGAGGGAATACTATGGACCGGAGCGCATTAGCAGACAAGCGCCCTTACCGAGCCATATTTTAGGTATTTAGTGTACTGTCTTTATATTAGGTTTAGGTCAAATGGCAAATAAAATACTCAGCTACTGCTGTAACAAAATTTCGTTTAATTTCAGGAAACATGTGGGGCCAGAGTTGGAGTAACATATTCGATATAACCCAGCCCTATCCAGGTCAGAATTTCCTAGACGTTTCCCCTGAAATGCTCAAACAAGTAAGAGCATAAGCTGATGCTTCGACGCATGAAACTAATGTTTGCCTAAATATCTCAGGGTTACACTCCAATCGACGTTTTCCGGCTGGCTGAGGACTTCTTCGTGTCGCTTAACTTGAGCGCCATGCCTTTGGATTTTTGGCAGGGCTCCATCTTCGAAGAACCGCGCGATCGGGTGGTTCTTTGCACTCCTTCAGCTTGGGACTTTTGCAATAGGAGGGATTTTCGGTGAGTTGCGTTCACTTGATGTCGATTAGTTTGAGCCTAACCCCGCGTTATTTGCAGTATTAAAATGTGCGCCAATGTGAACATGAAAGACTTGATTACTGCCCACCACGAAATGGCTCATATTCACTACTTCATGGCCTACAAGAACCAGCCCAAGGTGTTTAGGGACGGCGCGAATCCAGGTAATAACCGGGTTTAACTTACGTTGATTTGGACTGCTTTACACGGAATGTTTTTCTCATTGAAGCTTTCCATGAAGCCATTGGAGAAGCGATAGGATTGTCTGTGGGCACACCCAAACACCTTCAAGCTCTTGGTTTGGTCCCGGTATCGGTGGAAGATACAGCAGTTGATATCAACTACCTCTATCAGATGGCTTTGGATAAAATCGCTTTTCTTCCCTTCGCGTTTGTGATGGATAAGTGGCGCTACGATGTGTTCAACAGCAAAGTGGGAAAAGAGGAGTACAACTGCCACTGGCACATTTTGAGGTGAGTTCCTAGCGCTGCGTTCGAGTTCCCCGGCTTATTGTCGTAATTTTTTAGGGAGCAATACCAGGGAATTAAGCCACCGGTTTTGAGGTCGGAGATCAACTTCGATCCGGGATCCAAGTACCACATTCCAGCAAATATTCCATATCTCAGGTAACTATTTAGGCATACACACATTATTATGATTCTCTTCGCTATATAATCGGAAAATTGAAGAAATGACGCCGATTCTGAATCACCCTGTATAGTTTGATTTAAATATTACAAAGCTTTTTTATTTGTCAATCGATTTTAATATTTTTTCAGAGTGTGGATTTCGTCAAAAGTTTGAATCGATTTGCCAGTAAACAGGGTGAAACCAAGAGTTGTTTTATTACCTAATCTTCTAACACACTGTGAAAGAAAATAAAAGCGCCACAATAATGAAACAACTCTTAGTTGCTGTATAATGACAAACTACTTCAAACTTTGAAGAAGTTTAATTTCGGATAAGGATCAGATGAAAATGCCCACGATAGCTTGAAAAAAAGATTAAAGCGATTAAAAACTATGAAAGCTAAGTAAGATCTAAATGGAATAAAATTTTTCGAGCTCAGTCTTTGTTGCTTTGACTACGAGACGAGGGAGGTTTGAAATTGGCGTGTTTCTTTTTAAGGAGTGATTCGAACTCGAGAAAAATAATCATAAAGTATTCAGTGCCGCACTGTTATTCTCTCAGGCTCAGTTACATTTATTTGAAATTCGGTTAATGGCAGCACTTGTGGACAACGGTTCCGTCAAGAGTAGCAATTTAATCAGTGAAACCAGTGATTTCCTAAATTTATATATTAAATAACAATAGATACAAATTAAACAACGGACATAGTAATACTGACGCAATTTAAACCGATAAAGCAGCCCAATCAGTGATGGCCTTGTTCGCCGTCATATTCATCTCCACCTTGACTACTGAAACCGCCAAAGTCGTGTCCGCCTATATCACCAATGTCTCCTCCGCCTCCAAAATGTTCGTCGCCTCCTGCGCTGCCGCCCCCAAAGTTGCCCCCAAAGTCACCCCCGTGTTCTTCGTGGATCGGTACTGCCACTGGAACTTTAACTGGAACGGGAACCGGTTTTTCCACCTCCACTGGTACCTTCTTTTCCACGGTGTACGGTACCGGGTTGAAAATGGGAATTTTCACTGCATAGGGAACATGTTTTTCAACTGTGACGGGGATTTTTTTCACAACCGGGTACGGGACTGGGACGGCTACTTTAACTGGGTAGGGTTGGGGTTTTTCCACTGGGTAGGGAATGGGACGATCAAAGGCTACCTTGACTGGTACCGGTACTGGCTTGAATACTGGATAGGGGATTTTTTTCTCCACATGAACTGGATAGGGTTTGGGAACGTGGACAGGGTAAGGCCGGTCGACTGGTACTTTGACGGGAACTGGAACCTCCTTGTAGACTGGATAGGGTTTGGGTACATGCACTGGGACTTTTACTGGATAGGGTACTTCTTTTTCCACTGGATAAGGGGCGGGTACGTGCACCTTGTAGGGAACGTGGACGGTTTTTTCAACTGGGTAAGGCTGGGGCACCAACACTTTCACTGGGTAGGGTTTGTCTACGTGGACCTTGAAAAGAACGGGTTAAGGGAAACTATTACACCATTGGATATTTTTTACCTTGACGGGTACATGTTCGATTTTCTCCACAGGTACTGGTTTGTGGACTGGAACCTTAACGTGGACGGGTACTTTGACTGGATACGGCACCTTTTTTTCCACGGGATAGGGTTGCGGGTAGGGCACTTTCACCGGATAGGGTACCTTCTTCTCCACGGGTACGTGGATGGTTTTTTCCACTGGATACGGCGCAGGCACCTTCTTGACTATCGTAACAGTCTTTTGGTGATGCTCGTGACCTGCAAGAGTGGTTTTCAATAAGTATGAGTGGTTGATGATGATGAGCACTCAGACCCAAAAAGTCGTTGTCCATCCTCATTTTATAAATTTTGATGGAATTTTGGGGAAACAATAATTTTTTTGAGTCGCGCCCTTTATGTTTCTTACCTTGCCAGCCCCCCGAGCCACCTCCAATACTACCCCCGTGCCCCCCACCTTCACCACCCCCAAATACGTCTCCTAAATCGAAGCCACCAAAGTCTAGAATTGAGAGAACATCGAATGAAATAGACTGTGCTGTACAGAGTGGGTTTTGTGCATCGTGAGTCTTTGGGGTATCAGTAGGAGTTATTACCGTGGCCGCCTCCAAGGTCGCCTCCTCCAAAGCCTCCTCCAAAACTGTGTCCTCCTTCAAAACCGCCGCCAAAGTCGTGGCCGCCTCCATAGCCGAGCTCGAGCCCCCTCTTGTCCTGCTTCTTTTCCGCGGGGGCTGATTCCACTGCTTTACTGTCTGCGGCCTTTTCTGATTTTTTTTCTTCGGCACTCGCCAACAGCAGGAGTGCGCAGAGCGCGAAAAAACTCTGAAAGTGAGCAAAAAATAATAATTTCAGATAGGATAGTTCCATTTTTTCTTCGCAGTAAGATATTGAATTAAAGTAGAGGCGAACTGAAATCGTTACATGAGAATTAATTTGGATGGTAATGGATAATAACTACTGGATGGTTTTGTTTTATGGATTTTCATGATTTTGATTCTAACTCACATTTTGATAGTTTTCTTGACAAACTGCGACGACAGGAATTTTGGGTTAAAATACTGCAAACTTTGTGTTTGCATGCAAAATATTGTATTTTTCTTTGTTAAATCTTCTATTGTAAGCTTTGAGCTTGAGAAAAATGTGGCAATTTCAATGGATTTTTGCATTTCTGAGCTAGAAACACACGTCTTTTCGATAAGTTCAACGTTTTCTCGACAGTTTAGCGATATTTCTACTGTTGCTTGATGTAAGATTTTGGCCAAACACAGTTTTTTCCTCTGAGAAGCTCCTTTAGGTTTTCTAAAAAATGTTGATTTTGCTATTGTCGCTATAGAATTAAAGAAACTTGTGCGGCGTTTCATCGTTAATTATCGATTCTTATCTATTTTTTCGATAATTGCACATTTCAAATTGGCAGATTATCATTCGAACGAAATGTACACGAATAATTAATTAATCCGGGCAAATAATCGAACTTTGATAAATATTTGCCTCCCTAACGGATTTTCATTTTTTTCGAATGTTCTAACCACTTGAAGTTCTTTAAATGCTCTTTTAACTGTTTTTTGAGTTTTGAAAAGCTGTGAAAATTATAGGAAGCCACGAAGCAGAATGTCTCTTTTTTCAAAGCAAAAATGCCATTCTCCGCGACAAACTATTGATTGAGTGGCAGTTTCTGCACCTTTTAAGATGAAAAGACCTCGAATATGGCAACTTTCTGTTTGAATCTTTCAGGCCATTACTTCAGTGCCTTTCTTCCTCTTCAGCCATTTTATCTAGGGTTTCTTCAAAGTTGAAGGTGGTTGTCTGGTTTGTTATTAAGTTTATTTCTACGGAACTTTATTTTAACACCTAAAAAGAGGTCACGACATTTTTGTGAAAGCGTATGTTCCTTTGCTTTCCGCCAATCTTAGAACTTTCGATGCTCCCTAGAAAACGCCTTAGAAAAGAGCCTTCGAGTTTTTTGAGTTTTTAAAATCAGTGAAAGTTATAGGAAGCCACGAAGCAGAAACCGGTTTTTTGCCTGGTTAATTGGGATTTTAAAAGATTGTAGTAAAATTCAAAAAATTGTCCAAAGTTTAGCAAACAACAATTTACAAGAAATTTTCAAGTTGACCAGGGAATCTGCTGCAAAAATGTCGTTCTCTGTGACAAACTATTGATTGAGCGGCAGCTTCTACACCTATTGAGGTGAAAAGACTTCGAAAATGGCAACTTTCTCTTTGAATCTTTAAGGCCATTACTTCAGTGCCTTTCTTCCTCTTCAGTTATTTTATCTAGGGTTCCTCCAAATGTGGTGGTCTGGTTTATTGTGAAGTTGCTACTGAACTTTATTTTAACACCTAAACACCTAAAAAGAGATAACCACAGTTTTGTGAAAGCGAATGTTCCTTTGCTTTCCGCCAATCTTAGAACTTTCGATGCTCCTTAGAACACGCCTTAAAAAAGAGCAATACCTTAGAAAAGCAAAACGCAAAATCAATAATTCCGATTGGTCACCAGTATACCCCGATTAGTCACCCAACCTGTTACATAACACGGAAAAGGGTCTGCGCAAAAAGGTATGATTCGCTTCAAATACACGGCCACTGAACACGCAAACACTGATAGTCCGCGTAAATAAAATAAACAGCAGTTTGAGCAGAGTAATATGATTTAGGGTGCCAAGGTTTCGAATTCGAAAATCCTCTTTTACTAGCGAGTTTCTAAACCAACTGCAGTATACAAAAGATAAACCATTCTGGTGGGACAACGATATAGAAAAACAAATTAAGGAGAGAAAGCAAATATACACAAGAATCCTACAGTAGAAAGATGTAAATGCAAGAGAAGAATATATGCAAGTAACCAACATAGATCAGCAGATGGGAGGCGCACAGAAGTTCAGAAGCCTGGAAAACAATAAAAGCAATAAGAACACGCAACTAACAAGGAATTAGTCTAAATGGCATAACAACCTCACAGTGGACACAACATTTTAAACACCTGTTCGAAGAGCGCTGTATATGGGAAGATAAAGAAGCGCGTACATTTCGAGATACTTAACACAAGGGCAAAAGGTGATATAATCCACAAAAATAAGAAAATCCCCCGGACCTGGCTGAATATATCCCACATTTATAATATACAAAACATGCAAACTAACACAAATGTTTAAAAAATATGCCGAAATGGAGAAGAAACCCCAAAGGAATAGAGAACCCTTAGAAGGAACAATATATTCGCAAATTCCGGACTCCATAAGGGACAAACAACCGGAAAAATTTGGCTCAATTGTAAGTTTTATTAATGCGAAAAGCGATGAAATAGCAGAGTGGACTAGAAGCAAGTTGAGTTCTATTTGGTTCTAAAAGTCCAGAAGTTTCCTGTAGATTATTTTAAAAAAATGAAGCAAGTGACAAACTTTCCTGACGAATTATCAAAGCTACACGTACCAATTAACTTAACCGGGCAAATATTCTCATTTCTTCATGGATATTAAGTAATCAGTCATGTTGATGGCTGATTGCGGACATTAATGGATCCGGTGCTCGGGTACGGTGTTAAACCAGAAGACCTTTCTCCGCATGTTTACTAGAACACATGGCAAGCGCCCGCACCAAACCCATATATACCGAAAGTGAAAACGCGCAATTAAATTGCTTGCAGTAATTTCTTTCCGGGATTGTTTTGTGTTGGTTTTTTTGTGCCAATCGAGGTAAAAGGATGCCTTCTTCTTGTCGATTTGCTTGATTACCTAACATTCATCACATGGCACTCATATGGTTGATGATTTACATAATCGAAATCGTTTACAAATCTAATGAAGATCTGTTTCTGGTTATTTTCTTTCCGCGTAAAATGTGATTTTTTCTGAAATTTTTGCATTTGGTTGCCTTTTTTTTTCAATTCAAAAAGCCACATACCGAACATGTCTTGTTTGGAAATTCGTGTTTTATCATCAGGCAGTTGAAAAGGTTTTAAACGCTGAATATCTGGGTTAGCAGTTTCACTTTACTCATGATTCGTTAGTTTTAAAAATGTGTTGATTTGTTGTGGATTTTTGCATCTTATAACATATATTACAACCTTATTTTTTATTTTAACTAGTAAATTCCATTTAGTTTATTCCTAGACGCGAATTATTTGTAGGAGTTTCCATATGCGTTAACTGAAACTGTTCTACTTTGAAAGCAATTTAACTATCAAATCTCAAATTAGTTCAGTCGCTTTATTAGCATTATAACTGCAATTAAACAATAAAAATACGTAAATACTTGCCAGTTTAAAAAAAAAATTTCAAAGTTTTTCAAGTTTCAAAAAAGAGCTCTCGATGCAGAAATGCGATGTAGAAACAACGTTGACACATTTACCTCTTGATACAAATTGTCGTAGTTATTTGTTATTATTTGCGGGCAAAGCATTGATATGTTTAAAAATATGAATATTTTGGACAAAATCACTTCTTCACAAAATGAAGGAAAAACATGAAAAGTCGGGACAATTTGAAATCGAAAAACTCAATAGTCATAAACAGAAAAGAAAAATGTTTTTTCCTGTTAAAATTTAGGTTCTTTAAATATAAACTGACAAACCGCAGTTTTGCTGGAAAATCGTTTTTATTCAGACTTACTACTACCAAAAAAAAACTGGTATTTTTCCCGGATAATTGCAGCCCATAAACGTAAAACTTATTAAAATTGTATAAATAAAACCATTTATCGTTTTTTTGTCGAATGCCATTGAAAAAACATTTCGATTTCGACTTTGATAATTTTTTTGAAGTCAATCTGCCGCAAATTCACCGATGGAGTTTTTTTATAAATTCGCCAATAATCTAAATCATCCACCCTTCGTTCAACTGACTTACCAGAAGCTTCATGTGTGATGGTTCACGTTGCACGGGCGGCAGAATGGTACTGCTGACTTGCAATGGTACCCTCGCGCAATTTATATCGCTGTGCTTTCATGGCTTGGTTGGTCGCCCCCCGAAAATGCCCGCCATCAATTAGAATATTCTTCGGATAGATGGTTTTTTTGCTTCAACCAGAACGTGATGAGCTTGGAGATTGGTGCTGGCCTACCATCGGGTGCTGATGAACGAGTGACATTTGGCATCGCGCCATCTAAGTATGGGCGGTTTTTCAAAATCAGGTTTTCCATATGGGTGTGTTTGCAAAAAGCTTCAAAGTGTCGAAAAAATCTAAAAGAAGCAAATGAAAATTTAAAGTACATACAGTTGATATCAAGAAATAGGAAAAAGGCTAGAGGGCAGGGGGACAAATAACAGACATGTGAAAATTGACTAGAAGTTCAGAAACAAAAAATTAAAAAAGTCAATTAAAGGAGTAATAAAGTTCCGATAAGCAAAGTTTGCAACATTGGAACTTTATCATGTCCAGTGCAGGAAGGGAAAAATAGCTGGAAATCGTGTTCAAATAAAGAGCTTTTAATTGTGCAAAGCTGGTAAAAATGTCAATGTTATTCCCAATATGTATTGAAAGTGTTTCAAACCAAGTAATAAAAAAATCTGAAAAAACTTGATGATCTGAAATCGAAATAAGAAAAATTTTAAAAAGGTGCAAATTTCCCATTTGTAAGGCGGCAGGTAGTTGGCCTTAATAGAAGTTTTATTTCGCCACTTGGACCACAACTTTTTGTTCATTTCATAACTAGCCGTCTGGACTTTACACCGCAATTTTAGTAACATTAGAATGCATAAAAAGTGTATTATGGGCACTCTGTCAATTCCTACAAGAGAAAACACCCGGGCAAGTAAAAGTTAGTCAAAGTGTTTGTTTCTCGAAACTAAATTACTGTAGTCAATGAAAACCTTTCGGCATCAGCAAAGCCGTCATGAGCTTGTGAAATAGGCAAGTGCAGATTTCGAAATGCGTCAACCTCAGACACCCCCAGAACGACGAAGTCATTGGCAATATACAGCACAGGTTTCGGAATCGCTAATTTGAGGCTGAACTCAGCTGATGAGAGCTAATAGGCTCGAAACCGGTCTGGGGGTGCCTGAGGTTGGCGCATTTCGAAATATGCACTTGTCTAAATTACTGTAAATAGCAATAACACCCGGTATAAAATACCGGTTGCTTTCCGAGTAAGGGTTTCTAGTAAAACACTATTTCAACTGAACGAAGTCTTATGTGTCTTTTTTCGGGATTTTGGTCCTTCGTGAATGAAATATTATACTTCCTGAGTTTCGCAAGCATGAGTTTCGCTTCGACTGCGAATGCACCTCTGAAGAGGCTAGCCACTCATGATTGCGAAACGTCAGGAAGAACTTAATTTTATCCACTCTGTAAAAGCCAGAAAAAATTCACCAGATTCAATCAATGCCCAACGCTTTTGATAATGATTAATAAAATGTTTAATTAAAAAACAGCAACAGCAAACACTAAAGTAAAACAGAGGCCCAAACCAGAGAAAATATTTACAGTGTTTCAAAGAAATCAATATGTATTAACTAATTGGATATTGCTTACTAAACCCGATGGGCGACAGATTGAAAACAGCGATTTCTCAATTAAAATTTCCTTCCTTATGTCCGTTTTATTGTTCTTTCATCGTCGGTTTCTATGTCGGTTCTTTAAGTTAGCATAATGGTCCAATTAGGTATAAAGCGACAGTGTTTATTGCACAAATTAGTCAATTTGTCTGAAAACAAATAAGAAGCCTTCAGGCGACGTGTTAAGGAGTGTTGAAATTCGGTGGCTTCAAACCAAAGCGATTGGTTAAGTTTTATTAATAATAAATTGGTATGTATGGGGGGGGGCGTCTTCGACCGATGTGCCGAAGAAGCAGAACACTAAATTGATTTGGGCGTTGAGACGTTTGAGATTTTTCTATTAGCCCCGTAAGAAATCATTCAGAAATCGTCTCGAACTCGCCAACTCTAAAAAAGTCTGCAGCAGAAATATTACTATTAACTTTATTATTATTTCGTCATGATTTTGATTGATGGTCATTTGACGATCATGATGATGATATGAACCAGCAGATTCTGCCATCCATCATTTCACTTTCGTTTGATAGCGTCTTCTCGTGCAATACATTCAATCGATTTAACAGTATATCTCGTCCATAACACACTTAATGGTAATTTGACTAAACGTTCTTGTAGCTCTTGGATAGTAAAACGCCCTTAACAAGATGTTACATAATGCGGAACATCTTTTGGTCTAAACACCTGAATGAGAATGCTCGACCGTTGATGTAACGCAACTCTTCACGCGTTACGGACTCATTAGCAGCCGAACCAAAGAAATATCAGAAACAATTAAGAAAAGAAACAGATTAAATTGTGTTAATAAAAGCAACCTAAATAGCGGTTGCGCAAAGTGGATAATTATTTGCGGTGGTAGCGCTGTGTGCGCTTTCGGTGTTAATTTATGAAAATTGATACATTTGGAGCTGAATTTGAAGGTTGAGGTGGTTTTTTGGACTTTTGATTGAATTAAACTTATCGACTTTATTTGAAAGGCGATAGGATGGAAACGATAGCAATGTCATCTATTCTAAAAAAAAAAAGTTGGAAAGAGTAAAATTACGCAAGTGAACAGAAGAATTTAACAAAAAAGACACTTGAGAATTTAGTTAAAAGATCAAGAAGCTAAAGACACTATATTTACGCCCGACATTACAACCTTGTTGAAGATCGTAAAAAAGGATTGAATATTTCAAATGTCGAGAAATCATCATCATTAGTTTGTTCTAAAGGAAAATGATCTCAAGTTGTTCTTTGCCGAATTCGAAGATCCAATGAAGAAACAAGAGGAGCAGTTGTTTTTTTTTCAGCAAGTATCATGTTTGTTTCGAAGGTTTGTTCATCATCAAGAAATACTACTAGAATTTGCAATACATTAAAGGCTTGATTTCTAGAGAAATTGAAGCATTGTGTGAAGTTCCAGTCTTTTTCTCTTTTTCTTTCTTAGTTGCATTGGCTTAAGTTTGTGTTGATCTACAATATTGATTGTTTTTTTCTCTCCCTTCTTCATATTTGCCTTAACAATGCCGGTTGCAATTTTATCCGTCCAGCTGATTTGAGAAACTTTTGGTAAAACCGCTTTTATTGCATTTTGCAGTTTTTCTGTAGGTGTTTGTTTCATCTTCACCAAATCTTGTCTGTTCTACTCCCATTTAGATTTTTTCCTCAGGGTTGTTTTTGCGCTTAAATACAGTTCAAAAAATAATAGGCCTAGTTAACACTGTGTTGAATTGCGCTTTTGAGTTGTTGCCGCTCTCAGAGTTATTGAGTTTTAACTTATTGGTTAATGAGTTATAACTCATGGTCGTTGACGGAATTTTAACATCTAACAAAAAAGCCATCAACCTTTTGCGCATACCATTGCTTGAAACTATTTGGTTTAAAGCGGAAAAATCCGGATATTTTGATGAAACTCTGAAAATAATTTCAGAGCGATGAGGGTGACGAGTTTTTCAAATATTGATTATATGCTTTTGCTTTATCTGCCGTTTTTCGAGAAAATCTAAATTTTGTCGAAAAAAGCAAGATAACTTTGTTTCGATTTTATCCCAAATTCAAAGGTAAAATGGGTATTCGAAAAAGACGATAAATAAGACCAAACTGTAAAGACGACGACTTTTCTTGTAAATTCGTCTTTTAACTTTTTTGCATAAAGGACTCTCAGATTGCCAATATTTGACAATAAAATGTTATGAAAAAACGCATTGTTCTCTTTAGAGAGAGTTCTCTAAAGAAACTTAAAAAATCTTCAGGCGAATTTTCCAAATAATTGTTTGGAAACTTTTGTTCTCTGGCCGTTTGTTCCAAGAAAATCTTGATTACTTTCGGTAAAAAACTGAATAAATTGATTTGTTTTTGTTCCAAATTCGAAGCTGAAAAGGGTTTTCTGAAGTTCCCTGCAAACCGATGAATGAAGCGTATTTTCTAGCAAATTTAATTTGTCATTTTTGGCTGAAAAGACCCTATTATTGTCAGAAAATAGAAAAATCATCAGAAAACAATGGTTTTATTGGGTTTTGATGGAAAACTTTTAGTTTTGTGATAACCTTAACAAAAACCTTAGAAGTTTTCGGGGAAAAACGGGATAAATTTATTTTCGTTTTTGTCCCAAACTCGACTTTTTATTAATTTTTTTATTTATTATTTATGTATTAAGGAATAAATATATCTTGTAATTTTTCGCTTAAAAGACCTTCAGATCGTCAGTATTTTTAAGTGAAACTCTACAAAATAGAGCGTTTTTGAGTAGAAAGCAAAGCAAAAAAAATAGTTAACACTAAAAACACACATTTTTTTAACAAACTCTACAATCATCAGAGGAATGGAAGTGACGAGTTTTCCAAATAATTTATTATAAATTTGCGCGTTTTTTGGATAGACAATTATTTGATTTTTGGCCCAAATTCGAAACTGGAAAGGGATTTCAAAACTTTTTACAAAGCGACGAAGAAGGCGAAAGAAGATAGTATTTTTTAGAAAAAAGAGTTACTTTGCTAAAACTATAAAATTCTGAAATTTTGAAGAAATGTTAAAAATATTATTGATAAATGGCCCTCAAAATAAATCTAAAAACAAGTGAATAGTTATCAATAGTTTCCCAGCAACGGTACTGAGTTATTGCGCCGGTGCGTTGTGTTGGCGCACCAAGCTATTTGCGTTGCACTGCGTCAACTCCTAAAAATTTATTGAGTTGCCCAGGCCTACAAAATAATGAACGACAAAGACTAAATTGAAGCAAGTGACCAGAAGCTAAAGAGACACTTAAGCAGTCAGTCATTCTGAGCAAACGGTTCCAACTGTTAAATGATCAGGAAGCTAAGGATTGGATCAGGAAGCTAAGGACATTCATTATAAGTTGCATTTTTTGTAGGTACTGCAGTTTTTGTGTACATTTTGTCCGTTCATTTGATTTTATAAAACTTTCGATAAAACCACATCTACAGGACATTTTGCGCTCTTGTCCTTGTTCTCCATAAGATCCAGCATTCTAATGCATTAAAGAATATTTTAGAAATCTTCCATCCAAGTCTAACCGAAGTTTTTGTCTGCATAGTGCGCATCAGTTTCATCTTCGGAAAGTCTTGTCTGTTCTATTCCCATTCTGTTTTCCTCCGAAGGGTCTTTTTGGCCTTTAAGTAGGTTTGTTAGGTCTGGTTCGCTGGTTCTTCCCCAGCTCTGGCTATTTTCTTCATATGACGCTTAGGATCATGCAAGAATATTCCTTTCTGACTTCATCAACTCACTGTATACATAGAACGTATATTCCAAAAGGCCACAGATGAGTTCAAAATTGGGATTACTGTTAACTGGGAGGATCCAAACTATGTGATATATGCGGATGACGCCGTATATTCGGCAAATTGTCCGCTTTTGTCAAAATTGCAAATAAAACACTCCGAAACTTCATTCTCTCTCTCTCATTTGGAAACATTACTCTTTATTAATCATTAATCAAAGTACTTCGCCTTCTACAAACATTTAAACATTAAGTATTTTTAACTCTTACATAACTACAATTTAATTTGGTTTGGGCTTACCATTAACAACCTAAATAATCTAGCAAGGTACAGTTCAACATATTCTTCTGTTTCTGTTTCTTTACCACTTTTCCCATGTGCCCCAGTCCACCAATCCCAAGCCAAACTTCCGTTGGCCACCCTCCTCTTTTTTGTCTTCGCACTTTATTTCGATTTTCTTCTCCTTCTTTTCCTCCTTTACCAGCACGGGTACTTTTTTCTCCACGTAATAGGGGACGTGTTTGATGACTTCATAAGGCACCGGTCTGTCGTACGGTACCTAAATGTCCGCCGGTTTTGAGTCTTTGAGGACTTTTTCGGAGAAAACTTACCTTGACTTCATAGGGGACTTCTTTGTAGACCGGAACCTTGACTTCTTTGTAGACGGGGTAAGGCTGGGGAACCTTCACCTCGTAGGGCACTTTGACTTCCTTTTCTACTTTGTAAGGCACTGGCTTGTCCACGTATACTTTCACCGGATAGGGCTTTTCCACGACAACGGGTACTTTGACTTCTTTTTCCACTTTCACTGGATAGGGTTTATCTACTTTCACTGGCACTGGACGGTCAACGTAGACCTAGAATTGCGTGTTTTCCGGTTGTCTACTAAGGTTAGCTTTTGAGTACCTTATGGGGAACCTTGACGATTTTCTCCACCGGATACGGTTTAATGACGTGAACTGGTACCTTAACTGGTACTTTAATCTCTTTCTCCACTGGATAGTGGACGACTTCTTTCACTTCATACGGCACCTTCACTTCTTTGTATACCGGA